GAATAATAATTATTTTTACTAATATATTCTTAATTATTTACTAAATATATTTTTCCTGAATTATCATATTTACGGTATAGGAAACACCGTATATAGGATGGAGGGAGTATTTTTTACAATGAAAAAAGTAAAATAATATGAATTTGGAGGTCAATTTACCCTCCATACCCCTATTTGTTTTCGTCTCTAATTTTATGCATGTTTTAAAAGTTTATCTAATCTATGTTCTCATTTTCTTTTACTCTCTCTACACTTAACTTATCGCTTTGTATTTTGTTAAGAGTTTTTCATCTATTCAATATTTTTACATTGTTACCTTTAGATTTTAGTATTTTGAAAATTTTTAATGTATTGTTCTGTTTAAACATGTACTTGATGCTAATTATGGATTTGTTTTTAACGTGATTGGAGAGTGATACTGTGTGTAGATTTTTGTTTTACAATTACATGAATTTGATATTTATCTTCCTTATTTGAAAATTTAAAGGCATGTTTGGTTGACACTTCAAATAATTTTTTACACTATTAACTAGTGTATACTCAAATTTTTCCATTCAAAGTCGTTTGAGTTTTATTTTTCTCACAAACCCAATGTCTGCACATATAACTTCGGTGTCGCTTGGGTCTTTATTTTAACTATTAAAAATTGGTCTTTGTCTCTCTTTCTTTGTTGTGTATATTGTTGGTATTTTGGCCCAAACCTATAAATCAAGTCCAACCCGCAATCCAAAACCCTTTAACCCGACTCGGTTATAAGGACCCGACCCGGCCCGACCCGGCCCCTTATATCTCCTCTCCCTTCTCCCTTTCGGTTTAAGAGTTAATGGATGAAGAACATAAATCGGTTTCTCTTTCTCTTCTTCGCGATTTCTCTCGGTAAGTTTTGGGGATTTTTTTTCTTTGCCAAAATTGCAGGTGTAAGCATTAAAAATTAAATGTTTAAATTAAATTAAATATTATGTATTTTGAAAGAAAATAAATTTTCAATAATATAAATATATGGTATTTAATTATGCACATATGTTAATTTTTGTACAATAAATATCAACCATTAATGCAAAAAATCTACTTAAAATGGAAGATATCGTACAAATATTACGTACATAAATAGAGCTATAATAAATTTGGCAGCAAAATAAATTAATCTTATCAATAAATGAAATATATAAATTATTATCTTCCAGAAAAGGCAATGATATAAAAATATTGTCAATAAAGCAAGTATATAAATTAATATCTTCCAAAAAATGCAATGATATAAAGATTTTGACAAGAAATGAAGATGCACAATCAAATCTGTCAAGAATGAAAAACGGCATCTGATGGAAAGGGAAATATTATAAAATCTTTCTATTGGTCAATCAGGACGCGCCACGTGGCACCATCCAAAAAGGAAGCCAAGGCCACCCTCCCCTATAAATAGGAGCCTTGGCCAATTCACTACACACCGAAGTTCATTTGAAGACTCGCGCAAGGGTAAGTCTCTCTAGACTCTCTGCAATGTTCTTCATTGTTCTTCGTGTCATTCGAAGCATTCTTCATCGAAAAGTCACCAATTTGGACAAATGATCCAATATTGGTTGACGAACCGATGGAGTTAACGTTCTTCGTCGTATAGCTCCCAAAGCCATCGAGGAATCGATCAAAGCCAAGGAAGAGCCTGCAAAGTCGCTCATAAAGCTTCAAGATATTCATTGCATTCTTCATCAAAGGCACAAACTCGGCCCTCTTTGATCCAAAAGTCAAAGGGACATGCCGCCAAAAGCGTTATGGAGCACCAAATCTACCCCCTAAAAGACCAAATTCTATCGGATCATCCAAAGGAGGCATCAATCCAAAATCGACGATCAAAATTGCCAACACGGATACCAAAGCCTTCCAAAAATCGGCAAAGCCAAACCGAAGACCAAAATCCCTTCGGATCAAAGAAGCTACCCAAATCCAAGTTAGAAAAATGGATCGACCCGGAAACAGAATCAAAGGATCCGAATAGAGAATAAGACCCACTTATATTTAAATTAAATGTAATTTGTACGATTTTGTGTTTATAAAAATATAACGCAATTTTTTTGTCTACAACAAGCATTCTTGTTCAATCTCTTATGGTATGTTGTTCCTTGGGTGTTCTTTGTGAGTTATTTGAGAAATTGGTCGATTAGAGTTAGAGTTCTAAGATCGAGTCCATTGGTTTGGGGTTTTGTTTGGAGGGGTTGAGTTAGTCCTATCTGAGTCATTAGGTTGTAGTCTGAGCCGTAAAAAATTTCCCAAAGTGTTATTGTTGATTCGCTTGGGAATTGCCGGAGGGAGTTGCCAGATTCGGTTGTTCCCTGTCTTTGTCCGTTGTTGTTCATCGCCGGAGTTTTTGCTATGCTTCTACCGCCGCTGCTGTTGCTACCTGAGTCGTTGGCTGCCAATCAACTTCGTGGTTGGAGTTGGAAATAGACACGAGCATGGAGTGTTCAATTTAATCACCTTGTTTTCTTATACTTATATGTTTTTGGATTTTGTTAAGTTTCTGTATTTTAGGCATGTATTGTTGTTTGACATACTAGTAGAAACACAACATATATATATATACCTATAGATATATATCAAATTTGATCGAATATTTTTGGAGAGATTTAAAAATATCTTTTAAGATAAAAAAAATGATATATATAAAATAAAAATAGTGTCGTGCATGTTCGTGTAGTAACTCCAAAAATTTCGTCAAAAATAAAAAAATCTCTTTAACCGGTGAGTGTCCGGGTCGAACTCAGGGAATATGCAAATATCTTATATTTAATTAGAAAAAAAAGTGCAATGAGTTCGAAGAATTGAAAAGATAAATTGTATAAATTAAATCTAACTAAAAAGCAATAAAATATACGTATCTAAAAAAGAATGAAGCGAGACGTTTGTGTCTGACTTTTGCGTCCTTAATGGCTAGATTTCAATGGATGAAATGAGTGGGATGACGATGGCGTGATAGCGAAAAATATATGTATAATTACGGGGCGGCTCGGAGGAATGAACGCGATCGCATTTGCTAGCTTAAGCCGATTCTTAACCAAAAGTTATTTTTAAAAAATCACTTATTCAATTTAGAATTAAAAATTATTTTTAAATATTTATGTTATTAAAGTTAAATATAAAACATATTATAACTCATTGTTATTAATTTATTAACAACATAAAATACAATGAGTTTCTTGCATTGTTAGATCTATCTATTTTTTGTTTTAGGTAAAAAGAATTATATTAATAATATAAAAATAATAATGTTATATTAAATTATTGATTCTTATAAATAGACAATATATAAATATATATATAATATGAATTATGTTAATATGTGTAAATTGTATTTTTTTAAAAAAAACATATTATAAAAAGTCGTGCAAAAAATATTAAGCGAACAAAATAAATATAATAAGAAAAAATAAATATACTTTTTTCAAAAATAGTAACATATTATAATATTCATTATTTTGGTATTTCCAATACAATATTTCATATCTCACTTAAAAAATATTTATTCAAATAATCTTATAATACAAACACATCGTCCATGTAACATTATTAAAACCATACATAAATCAATCATACCAGCTTTGAATAAAACATCATTGAATCCATTGAATGGATCAAATTAATTTTAAACTTAGGGTTTGGGGCATTGAATTTTGATTTGAAATTTAAATAGTAATTTATTTTTTTTAATAATTATATGATGTGATATGAATTTGTATCAACGTGATATTTTAAATGTAAAATTAATTTTTTAATATAATATAAAAAATAAAAAATAGACTGTTAATTTAATATTTTTGATTTTTTTTTAATGAATAATAGAATTTGGAGAAAGTTTTACAAACAACACATTCTTAATATAAATATGTTAGTAATTGTTTTTATATTTTATATTACTATGGTTCATTTTAGATAGAAATTTTTAGAAGTTTCGATAAAATTTATAAAAAAATACTAGTATATGACGTGATATTTTATAAAATGAAAATATTTAATATTACATTTCTTACAAAAATTATTGTTGATACATAAAATAAAAATTTATATAATTTATTTGTTATTATTATACTTCACCCATTAACAATTTATCTATTTTTTGTCATATAACAAAGTATTTATTTTCTTTAGTAATTGTACTGACAACCTAACACTACATATACATTTCCAATTTACTACAATTTATACTTTTAATCTTTTTACTGTTCCTTAACAATTTATCTATTTTTTTGTCGTATAACAAAGTATCTATTTTATTTAGTAATTGTACTAATAACCTAACACTACATATACACTTCCAATTTACTACCATTTATATTTTTAATTTTTTTACTATTGTTTATACTTACATTTCAATATAATACTAATATTTTTAAAATTTAGTGAAAAAACAAATAGATAAATACATATGAAACAACAGAGTGAGTATATATTTCTTTACCATTTTGTTTTCTATGTTAAATATACAAAATTATATTAATAATATAAAAAATACAATAATTATCTATATTAAATTATTTATTTTTAATAAATAAATAAAATTATATTTATTATATAAAATATGTTAACATATGTGCATTATATATATTTTTTAATAATAAAAAATTATATATAATAATAAAAAATTATCTCATTAAAAATATGCGTGTTTCTTTAGCTTCAAACACCCAATTTTTAACTCTCTGATGTTTGCAAAAATTATTTTTTTTTTTCTCGCAAAATATTTTATCAAAAATTATTTTAATATCAAATTAAACCAAATATTTTTCAAAATCAATAAAAAGAAAATACATCCCAAATAAACAAATTCTGTGTAGTCGTATATACAAATTACAGCTGTCCATGAAATTAAATAAAAATCTGAAAAGGAAAAAAAGTGAAAAACCGACAATGCAGAAGGTACAACAAAAGAGGCGAAGGTACAACAAAAGAAGCGAAGGTACCTGAAATTGACGTTCATGGCCTCGCAAATAAACCCTTATTTTGCAGCTCACTGACAATTGATCCAATCCGCTTTCCCATTCATCAAATAAAAGTCTTTTATATAATTTTATATATTCAACAAATAGCATTTTGTATATCTGAGAGAAAAATCATCATCAGATTCCGGAATTGAATAATCATCCGATCCCTTTTCTTCAACCAGCAATTTGACAGATCCAGTAAGCATGTCTTCCTTTCCATTCTTTAATGTTTACCGCTTTGCGTATCCATACACTGCCAGACTTGCATGTAGCTAGTACTAATTAATATGGGTTTTTCCATTTTGAAGAATCGCGTTCTGATTTTGGGCAGGTTGTGATTTTCGTGTGCAAAGCTTGCGGATTGAGCTGCTTTGAAATGTCAATTTTTGACGGGCTTCCCATTTCGCGAGAGAAATCGGTGAGTTTTTCTATTTTTCCTGTTCTTTGTTTTTGTTTGTATGCGATTCTATTAATTTGTGCGTTTGGTGGCGTTTAAGTTTGCTTAATTGTAATTCGATGCTGTCATTAATTGAAATGAATAAATGAAAATGATTTGGACAAGGATTTGGATGTGTGCTTGTTCTTACCAGGACTGCTAAATATTGATTTTTGGTCCTATTTCCATTACTGTTCAAGAAGTGTAATATGTGGACATGTATGGGGAATCTTGCTGGTTAAGTAAGATTTATTTGGTAGACGCTGTGATTTTGTGTACTTGTTAGTTTACATTTATGTTTTTTTGCTACCCAAATTCTAAATTGAATCCTTTTATCATTTTGAAGGAATGCTTGCATTAGGTTCTTTACTAAATTTGAGCAACTTATGGTGAAGCTGAAGTCTGGAAAAATCGTCTTTGCACCTATATAATTTACTTTTCTTTATTTGAAGCTAAAAAATTGAATATTGCAGTGCTCTCCTATGTACCCAAAGGATCCGCTGTTGCATAACATATTTGCTTTGGAAAGTGTAATGACTAGAAACTGTTTTATGTGTACTTTGGGTTGCTAGATCTTTGTAAGAATATGTTAATCCAAGATCGTGTGCTCTGATATATTTTCAAATAATCTGAACGGACCATATCAAGAATCTCCATATTATGGCAGAAGTAAAAATTGTAAAAATCATAGGTGGCCACCCATTAAGTTCTCAAACATCGTTTAATTTAATTGGAAATATTGTACGGTTCTTGGGAGAAGATGCTAGCTTATACTGCGGGGTAGAGTTGGTTACCTTGCTATTGATATTGATATTCTATATTCATAATGTTAAGTTAAAAGGAATGTATAATCTATATATCTGGAGAAACATAAAAATTTCATGTACGCTCGCCCAATTTGCAAGACATGCCCTACAAACCTAGAATTTCGGACAGACAGACACTCATATTGTATACTTATCTTCCTGGCTTGTTATCACTTGTTTGTTTCATTTGCAAAGTTTTGTATGGTTTCTTTTTCTCAGACATTTGTTGCCAGTATTTCTTATGAGTATTGATTTCATAATCTATTGATAGAGTTCTGACTATTGAAGTCATTTTCGTCATCTTCTTCCCTGGTATTCACAGTATTTAAAAGAAGAACTTTCTAAAGTAGATGAAAGTTGGGCTGCTGCACGCTTTGATTCATTACCTCATGTCGTGCATATTTTGACATCAAAAGACCGTGAAGGAGAAGTCCAGATTTTGAAAGAGCAGAGCGAGGTTATTGAAGAAGTTGTTGATGAAGTTGTCCATGCTTACCATGGAGGTTTTAACAAAGCAATTCAAAATTATTCTCAGGTTTCTCCGTATTTATCTTTTATCTCTTCGTGTGATGCTCAGTGTCCCATGTTAATATGATTTATGCCTAGGTCCTGGTAGCATGTAGCTTGTTTGAGATGATTCCACTTATTTTTATTACATCTTTTTGATCATTCTGCATTTTACGGATATTTTCTTGCATGAAGTCGACGCCAACGGTAAAAGTAACTAACTAACTATGCCTTACATGGTTTATAGTTTTAGCTTCGTATATGGAGATCAATAATATGTGAACAGGATTAAAAGATATTTCCTTTTATCGTGTCAAGGGAAACTATGGCTTAATTCGGCTATAGTTCTAGGTTCTCATATGGATGCAAATATTATGCCAGTGGGCCTTTAAGTATTTCTGTCTTGTATAAGGAGCATTTGTAAAGTTAGTAGTTTCATATTTATGGGCCCAGTCCCCAGTCCAGGGGTTTGTACTCAAACTGCTACAAATGCATGTTCAACTTTTAGTAGTATGTGATTAAGTACACATATTATCCACAGGAATATAGGATTAACTTTAACCTAAGATAAAAATGTTTTTCATTTAATTCAGGCAATCAAAACGGAAGTGAAAACTAATAACAGAATCAACTGCATAACAAGTAGGCACACAGAAAGGGAACATAAAGAATTTCTGAGGAAAGTGTGCTCAAAGCTTAAAAGTCAACTTATTGGTGTTAGATTCAAACAATCAAAAGTATCTAATTCATTTAGTTATTCCTCTCAAATGCTTAATGGTGACTTATGTGAATTGCTAAGGATGCCCTCTTGATGTCTCCCACTTCTGAACATGATAATACCATTCTTTTATCGATCTACTAGACTATGTTGTTATTATTATTATTTTTTGACTCACCCGAAACATCTAATTGGTATTCCATTAATTCAGTTATGTAGTCGTAGTTGATTGCATTAAAATTAGGAGCAAAACAAGTGGAAGGAACAGTTTTGCTAGTCATTAAACAGTCGCCAGTTATACCACACTCAGTAATTATTTTCCAACCACTTAAATTATATAAATATAAACATGAATCATTTTGCAACTCAGAAACATGATTCACTACTCCAAAAATACCTGGTACACATCTATGAAACAAGGAAAATAAAATTTCAGTTGACTGTAAAAATTTTGAGTTGCTTCTAGAAAATCTGTTGGTTTTAAGGTCTTGTTGTGCTCAATAATTCTCAGGTGTTCGTTAGCAGATATCTTTACTTTCATCCCTCTGTGTGTTTTTTGTTTTTCCTTCAAATTGGATATGTATGCACAAATTATAAAGTTTGAATGGGTTTTCAGTAGGTGATCTTTCATTTTTACTTGCAAAATTTTCTAATCAGTTAGGTTGCTCAAATAAGGAATCTTAATAATTTGTCTGCATGCATTGATCAATCCATGTAAGCATTACCTCAATTAATGCACAATGTTGTTTGTTTCTCTCATGTGACTTTCTGTTGATTCTCAATTTCTTGTCGCATACTTGGGCTCCCTTTGACCAATCTCAAACATTAATACTCCTTGATTTTTGCATTTTTTACTCTATGATCAATTTTGTTATTTGGAAAGTAGAGGATATATATTATATAGAAACTAGTTGGAGTTACAATAGGATGAAGAAGGAAAACACAACTAAACACCAAAATGTCCAAATTTGACTTGGAAAATGTATTATCTAGTAGTCGTCAAGCGCTTAGACAAGGAGCTTTGAAATGAGGCATTCTTAGAGCCAAGCAATGAGATCCTCTCCAATTGAGACACTATGTTTTGCAAGGAAGTGAGTCGGATTATTTCCGCTTCTCGAAATGTGATGGAAGACAATATCTGAGTGCCTAGAAATGAGATTTCAGAGCTTGTTCAATTCAAAATTTAGCTTCCATGTGGTAGCCACATCGATAATCAAACCAAGGGCATTGAGTTATTTTCAAACAAGATTTTAGGAAGGGGACCAAATTGATGTGGAAAAAGGTGAAAATGTGGATAATGGCGATGATTTCTGCATCGTTTGAGTCTACAATGTCGATAGATTTGGACATTATGAAAATTACATGCCCAGAAATATCCTTACTAACTCCAGCAATGCTTGCAGGGCCTAATCTGACAAAAGCAGAACTGTCAAATGCTAATCTTCCATCAAACTTTGTCTGGAGGGTCCCAATCTTTGAGTCCAGCTAACTTATTGCTCTTTATATTTGGATGAGTGATCCCATGAAGGTTGTTCATTATAAAAATGGCATTGGAACATCTAGACGAGAGAGTTTTGTTTGATAACATTCACCAACCAGAAGAAGATGCAAAATATGACCCAATTTGTAGAGGATCTATTAACAATCATTTTCCTAAGTTATATCCAAATTCTTTCTTTTACTTACCATGTTTTCATTTTTCCCCACTCTTAGACTCATTGCCCACACAAAACATAAGATCTTTCAAATGCAAGAACTTTGTTCACTCCAAGCCATAGCATAAATACTATGAAGTATCGACTTTAGTGGTCTTGTATATGATGTCCAAAGGTCATCGAAAGTTGGATATTACAACTGTTTCCAACCCAAACTCCAAGGTTCCAATTGGGATATATCCCACGACTTGCAAATGTTGAACTAAGGTCCCGAGCCTAGATGAACCAAAAATTGGAAACACCAAATTCAATTGGTGGAAATATCACAAATGTTCTTGGTTATTATTTAGAATGGTGTTTAAAGTTTGGAGATTGGTTGGGTTATTATTTTTTCGAAATGAGAGTTATGGGATGTTTGGATATTTTTTGAGATTTGAGGATAAATTGAAATATGGTGTGATATATTTGCTTAAAAGTGAATTAAAAATGCGTATGGGAAGTATTATGAAAAATATATTCGAGATGGGCACCCTTGTACAAATTACATGGGCACCCTTGTACAAATGTAGTTCATCGAGATCCTCCTTTTAGAGAACACTTATCATTCTTCTTGATGATCACAATATATGGAGATTTTCGAGTAGTAGGTGTGGGGAAATCAGAGACTAGAGGAAAGAAGATTCTGTATTTCCACTTGATTTGAATTGATAATACATGGTCTTAAATAGAAGATTACAAGGAGAAAAGAGGGAAACAAATTAACTAATTCCCTCGATTAAGGGATTGACTAATTCCCTCAATTTAAGGGATTACAAATTGATTCTCCTGAGACATTTACAGAGCTATTTACAGCTCAGCTACTCTTTTGACACTCCCCCTCAAGCTGAGGAATAGATATCTTCCATTCCCAACTTGGATACAATATTATGGAAACTCGAACTGTTCAGCCCCTTTGTTAGAACATCGGCTAATTGTCTCTTTGATGGAACATAGGACATACATACTAACCCTTCATCCAGTTTTTCTTTGATGAAATGTTTATCAATTTCAATATGCTTTCTCCTATCATGTTGAATATGATTATGAGCTATATTAATAACTGACTTATTGTCACAGTAGAGCTTTATAGGACCATCCCATTTGACTCTCAAATCATCCAAAATGATCTTCAACCAAAGTAATTCGCATAATCCTTGAGCAATTGCCTTAAATTTTGATTCCAAAGATAACCTTGCCACTACATTCTGCTTCTTGCTCCTCCATGTCACTAGGTTACCTCCAAGAGAAGTACAATACCCTGCGGTTGATCTTCTATCCACAATGGAGCCAACATAGTCAGCATCGGTGTAGGCTTCCAAAGTAAGAGTGTCATTCCATTTGAATTTTCCCGGATTGCCTTTCAAGTAGTGTAGTACCCTGTAAGCAGCCTGAAGATGAGGTTCTCTTAGATCATGCATGAATTTCACTAATCATACTTACAAAATATGCTATTTCTGGTCGAGTGTGAGCAAGGTAAATGAGTCTGCCAACCAACATCTGGTACATTCTTTTATCAACATTCAACACCTGGTTCTTCTATAGCTTCTCCCAATTTATAGTTTGGATCTATTGGAGTAGAGATCGGCTTACACTAAATCTTCCTTGTTTCTGCCAATAAAGCAAGCACGTACTTTTGTTGAGATATGAAGATCCCTTGTCTGGAATATGCCAGCTCAATACTGAAGAAGTACTTCAATTTCCCCAGTTCCTTTATTTCAAATTCTTTCAACTTTAATTCATGCTTTTCTTTCTCATCATTTCTAGTCACTATGATGTCGTCCACATAGACTAAAGGAGCAGTCACTCCCCCTACAACCGAATGCTTAATGAAAAGAGTGTGGTCACCTTGGCTTTGTTTGTACCCAAATTCTTTTATAACTTTTGCAAATCTGCCAAACCATGCTCTAGGAGATTGTTTTAACCCATAAAGGGCTTTTTTCAGCTTGCACACCTTGTTACCTGTGTCCCCTTCAAATCACGGTGGGATGTTAATGTAGATTTCCTCATTTAAGTCACCATGGAGGAATGCATTCTTAACATCAGACTGTAGTAGTTGAAGAATTCTCACCGTGTTTATTTTTGCAACTGGAGCAAATGTTTCTTGATAATCCACCCCATAAGTTTGAGTGTATCATTTGGCTACTAACCTTGCTTTATATCGTTCAAGGGATCCATCAGCCTTGTACTTCAATGTAAAAATCCACTTGCAATCAACAAGGTTTTTCTCTTTGGTGTATCAACGATCTCCCATGTTTTATTCTTTTCTAATTCATTCATCTCTTCTCTCATAGCATCACTCCATTCCCCTTTTGACAATGCCTCAGCCACATTGTTAAGGATGGCAATGGTGTTCAAACTCACAATGAGTCCCTTTTAGGCTGGCGATAGGCGCTTAAAAGAGACATAATGAGAAGATCCAGAACATTTGTTGAATCAGAGGATTGTTCAATTGATTGAGTGTGTAAAGGTGGGTCAGAACTTACCGTGATTTCATTCTCCGAATCTGGATTGGATTCTTGGACTTGTGTCAGTTCAGGAACAGTCTTTCTCCTCGAATACACCTGAGGAGATTGTGGGAAATTGTGAGTGATGTTGGTTGGAGAATGAGATGATATGGGTTTAGTGACAGGGTCAGGTGAATCAGATGTGTCTGGTTCAGAGAACTCGGGTTCAGAGGGAACATGAGAGTTTGGCTTTAAGGACCCTGAGGATTCAGGTTCAACAACACGGGCTGGCACATGAGGAAGGTCAAGGGTTCTAAGTGGGCATAGAGCTATTTACAGCTCAGCTACTCTTTGACAGTAGGCTTCCAAACATCTAGTCGACATGCTGCCTATGTCACTCAATAGTTTTGTTGCATCTATATCGAATACTTCCCCTCCTAAGCTTGGATTCTTAATTCAAGTAGTTTCAATAATACTTTAGCACCCTACACTCCTTCCATATGTGACCCTTGATTTCATATTATATGTTCTATGTATTCGTTTAGTAGTCTCTAGTAGTAAACTGATTTAATAATTAAATAATTCTAATCATACTTGAAGTAGGGGGACATATCATTGACGTTAGATGTGAGTCACATGGACTTTACTATTTCACTCCTATTACATCCACTACTTATGTCACCATTAATTTTCTCTCCCTCATTTCCCAACACTTTGATTGTCCTAGCTTTCCTAAACTAAAACCTATTGTTACTTTTTTGTTTTTGTTGTTGTCTTTTGATTAACTTGTTTGCCTGGGCAAACAATCTCATACCTCATCTCCCAAGCAGGTTTATAATTGTGTTTCTATGCCCTTTGCATTAATTTATCATTATATTTGGATTCCTAGTCATATTCTATTGATTTTTGACTTTCGAGTATTTTCTCACTTTTGTAGTCGATTTTTAAGATGTATTGGCCTCTAGGCCCTCTACTTAATGAAAAGTCACTTTGAGTTTTACAGGGTGTTTTTGTTTGGGTGATTTAATTTGTTTTCCATTATTCACAATCCCCTTTTTTCATCCAAAGAAATATCAAATCAAATACCTAATTTTCATTTACTATATTACACTCAAAATCAATTTTACATTCAAAACTTTACACCAATTTCTATTTATATCACATCAAACAATTATTCAAATTCAAAATTTTACTATTCAAATCAAAACCCAAAATCAAATCACCCAAGCAAACACATCCAAAATTGTTTCTATAGTTTGTGCTGAGATAAAACACACTTAGACTTGTTAATTAAGATTCTTTGTAGTGACAATACTCTTGAATTACATTTTTGTCTCTATTGTTTCCATTATAATTATCCATCAATTTTCTTGTGCCTATAATAAATGGGATTTTTAAATAGAAAAATTTCCATCTTATTGAAACTATTTTGGGAGTTTATTCTCTTCTTGCTATGCATGGTTGAACTTTTTAATAATTGAATATTATAAATGCTTTCTTCAATGAGAATCTCAGATGAAGCAATCAATATATAGAGTAAGCACCTGATTTTGTTGCTCACGGGGATTTGGTCTTGTCTATAAGCTTCTCTTCTCTTTATATGGTTTAAAATAGTCCCTGCCATGTGCTTGGTTTGGCGGTTTAGTACGATTATACAAGAGTAAGGAATGATTAGATGTGAATCGAGTCACTCCATCTTTTATAAGCACACTGGAAAATGTGAGTGCTTGTACCCAATTGTCTATGTTTATGACATTGTCATCACTGGTCGTATATTAGGATGAAATTTGTGACCTAAAACTGTTTTTATTTGAGCATTACAAACTACGGATTTGGTGCCTTTTAGATATTTTCTTGTTGAGGTTACTTTCTTAACTAAATTGCTATTTCAGTACAAAAATATGTCTCAGATTCTAAGGGTCGTATTTGGATGTGTTTTCATCTGAGGTCTTGAAATATTCATCATATTTTTTCATCTGAAAAATATAACATTAATACTTATGTTTTATGTAAAATATTATATAAAAAACTTATTTTTCACTCTAAATATCGCATCAAATCCTTAGTTACTTTACATATAAAAAAAAAAAAAAAAAAAAAAACCATTTTAGTTCAAAATTTTACTTTTCTCAAACCACCTCTCGGGTGAGCTTTTGATGGATATTGGTCACTATGGGAAATTAGCTTAACTACCTTAGCTTCTCTCAATTGGATATTTTCTATGATGTCAGCTGTTCGTCAATTTCATCAGTATCCATGTACACACATTGGGATGCGGTTACATTTTATGGTATGTGAATCTTGGTCAAGGACTATTGTTTATGAATGAAGGCCACACTCGAGTTGTACTGTATTCTGATATTGACTAAGCATGAGTGACTTCCGACAGATATACATTAGAATGGATTTTGTTGACCTTAACCTTGCATCATGGAAGGGTTAGAAGCAAAGATCATTGCCATCTAATGAATTTGAGTATAACACCATGGTCTTAGCTCTTCTAAACTCAAGTGGTCACACATAACTCTTAGAACCAAAGTTGGTGCTATTTTGTTGTGTGTCCCCAATGACCAGCAAACCAAAATTGTCACAATTCTTAGAGTTTCTCATATTAAGTACATATACGACAGGTTTGGTGCATGCAATTTATATGTCCCAGCTAGAGGGAGAGTAATGAGTTTTAGCATCAGGCTAAGCCCATTGGGTTTGTATTTACTGTTATAACTGTACCCTCATATGTGTTTAAGAAAGTATTACTGTCATTTTTCCCAGAATAGATAGTGAGGGTGTTAAAAATATACTTTATCTATTTGTTTTCATGGTTAATAAATAGAAATGGTGAAAATTTTGAAAAAAATAAAAAGACTCAAAAGAGAGTAGAGCTTTGAACATAATGAAATAATTTTAGGGACATTTTGGTCTGACAATCTTTTTATTTTAAAAATGCAGTTTGTTTAGTGTGTTTGTTTGGGGGTTTGGATTTTGAGTTGGGATTTGAATAGTAAAAATTTTGAATTTGAGTAGTTGTATGATGTGATATAAATAGGTGTTGATGCGATGGTTTGAATGTCAAATTGATTTTTAGTATAATATAAAAAATGAAAATTAGGTGTTTGATTTGATGTTTTTTGGGGGAAAAAATGGGATGAATAGTGTATTTAAAATCCAATCCCCCAAACAAACACACCTTAATATATTATTTCTAAAAGTCAGTTTTTCCCTTAAATTTATGATTTCCAAGTATTCAGATACATTGCAGAATTAAAGTAGACTTATTAAAATTAATAAATTGATATATATATCTTTGAAAATGAACTTAGACATGTGTATTGTCTACTTTGTAATATGCTTATATAATAAAATTATATACGTAGGATATACTTTATATGATGAATATATTTTTATATAGAACATAAACAGCTACACTTCATGGACAATAAACATGTATATGATTTTTGTTAGTTTGTTCATAACATGTATATTATTGAATGAAACCATTCGGTAACCTTCTCCTCATCTGTGGTTCTAAACTAGTTCATATTTGGAGAATGACCTTCTGTTTTTTACTGGTTACATTTACAGCTCTTTGTATATGTCAAAAACTCAAATTCTGTAATCTAATTCCAATAAATTTGATGAACAAGTCCTAGTATATTTAATACTATAGGTAAATTTTAAAGATAGAGTATTGTATTTATTATTTATGCATTTTTCCTATACTACATTTGGATGAGAAACCTGGTTTTTAACTTAAATATTACTGTATATGCTTGTTTTTCAGATATTGCGGTTATTTAGTGAATCTGCTGAAAGCATTAAGACCTTAAAGGTTGATTTATCTGAGGGAAAGAAGCTTCTTGGTGCTCATAATAAGCAGTTGCATCAGTTTTGGTATCGTTCTGTTACCCTGCGGCATATCATTGCGTTGTTAGAGCAAATTGAAGGCATAGCTAAGGTTGATTTGCTCATGCAAAATTTTATGTTTTTACTCTCTCTCTCTCTATCCATATTTCTTCACTGTGTTTTACACTCTGCAGGTACCGGCTCGTATCGAAAAGCTCATTGCTGAAAAGCAGTTTTATGCTGCAGTTCAGTTACACGTGCAGTCAACTTTAATGCTTGAAAGGGAGGGCCTCCAATCGGTTAGTTGACTATTTGTTTTCTTTTTTTCTTTTTAGTATGAGTGATCGTTGTCATTTTAAGAATAAAAATATAGACAGTCCTGCTCATATACAGGCTTTCAAAGATTCCAAGGAGGTTGGAACTTAAGCAAAAAATATGTTTCTTGGATATTTCATATCCAACTTGCCCGTAAACTATTTTTTTGATGCTCAGATATGCAGTCTACTCCCTGGATAAGGCTGAGTTGAGTTCGTTGTAGATTTATGTTTAATTTGAATTTGGTGTGGGATTCATGCCTGCTTTACAACTTATTTTTCTAATGACCCCTAAAATATACTGTGTCAGTTTGATTATGTCTTCTCAAACATGAATATGAATGCTGTAGAAAACTATTAAGTACGAAGTATTAGGTTGAGGAACCAAAATTTTATTGAGGATTCTACATTTTAGTTTAAGTTGAAAGGAAACATTAGTGTTTCAATATTAGAATAGTTCTGATTATTTCAATGTACTGCATTATTATGCAAACCAGAACAATTCCGAATTGTTAAGATTTTATTGAATATTCTTTCTCCATTATATTTTTAAAAATATGTCTGAATCACACTAGTTTGATTCTGTTTATTTGATAATCATATCTAAGATGGTGATGTAAAGTGGTTTGCAAATAAAAGAGATCCTTATTTATTGAATAGAACGTTAACAAAGATAATTCAAGAAACCCTTGGACAAACTGAAGCTGAGAAGCTTACTCGACTATTCAATAACATTCTCTACTCTGACACTCAATACTGAACAAAATAAGATGATTAAACTCAATCCTAGAAGAATGCTAACTGTAGAAAAACTCAATTGTAGATCCTAATAAGGCATTTTGATTCATCCAAAGTGCTGCGCTTCTTTCATACGGTACCGAGTGTTGACAATCACCCTGCACCTGCTGCCCTAGACTGGTTGGTTGGACTGGCAGTCTCATTTTAGTCTAATATCACATGGTATTGGAGCCTAGGCTTTCCAACTTTTAACATTTTCTTCTATCCTTTTCTTTTTTTTTTTTTTGGAGAAAAATGATATATATTAATTCTTGGTGTAATCATGGATTACATGGTAGAAACGAAGAGCCTCTTGGAATTGCACAGAAACTAGAAATAAAATCAAATGTAGCTTATATGGTGAATCACAAAAGCCAAAAGGAAATCTCCCTGGTTCCTCAACGCCCCATGTAGCAAAAAAGCATGAGAGATCGTTTGTGCATTTCATGGGATGTATAACGAAGAGATTAGATGACATTGGGAAATGGAGCACTGCAATCAATGTATATCAAAGTTAAGATCCAGGGGGCTAATGCTCCTTGGAATCCAACATTCCAACCAAGCCAATTTTAGAGTCACCTTCAACAATGATCATGGGAAGAGTGGCCTATTTTTCCAATCAATAAGCAATAAAGAACTTGGATGATTGGCAACATTTTTTACTTATATGAGTTAGCAATGCTAATGGACTTGGAGAGAATAAAGCGGACGTGGCCTTATGGTCTCTGATCACCCCACTAATACCCGCCTGCCTCATATTTTCCCATCCCATTATATATATATATATATATATATATATTAACAACATCCATCATTCATCTACAGCTTTCGCTAAATTTTTTCTCACCATAATTTTACCTGGACGCTTACAGTATAGAAGCTATCTGTTGCATTTTTCTATATTTCTGGTCTTGGCAGATAGCTGGATATAGTCTATTGCTGCTTGGTCTGCTATGGGCACATATGCTTTGATTCTAAAACAAAAGGGCTTTGTTTACTTGTGAGTTTTTTGTTGGTTTTTAACTATACCAAAACCTTTCTCCAAAAAACATAAAATCAAACACCTTATTTTCATTTATTATATTACACTAAAATTTAATTTTACATTCAAAACATCTCAGCAATACATATTTATATCACATCAAACTATTTCAATTCAAAAATTTACTATTAAAACCCAAACTCACAACCAAGCACAACCTAGAAGATCAATATTGTACACGTCTGTATTTAGCCAAAAAACAATAATTTATTTGATGTGACTGTGTCCGGATACTGTGTGTACCTATATATATTTATCTCCCTATAGTATCAAATTATAGAAAATTAGTAAGAACAATATATGTTGATGTTCACAACACAATATGTGCATGCTTCAATACCTGTTTTCACAACTTTTTTTTTTTCATGGATGTATTTCTTTAGGTATTGTCTTATGGACATATTATATGTGACACAGGTTGGTGCTCTTCAAGATATTCGGTCTGAATTGACTAAGCTGAGAGGGACAATCTTCTACAAGGTTTTTGAAGAATTGCATGCCCATCTCTACAATAAGGGTGAATACAGGTGGGTAAACATTGCTAGTCTATGAGCCTCTAAACCTTTTTTCTAATAAATGTGCCAGATTAAGTATATACAGGGAGTAATTACCTTGCCTATCTGTGATAAGGGATATATATTAAATTTTGTTTGCAATTTATCCAACATGCTTTACTTTGATTATCCTGGAGATTGGCTTTCTTGTAGGAAGACTGTTCTTATATTTTTCTTTTCACCCCTTTTCAGTTCTAGCTAAGATGCTGTCTCTGCTTTATACTTTTTTATTGTGGCAGCTCAGTTGTCGTGAGTATAAATGAGAATGATGATGCAATTCCAACTTCCACAGCTGGTACATTTTCCTTGAACCATTCGCACACTCACTCTCGAAGAACCCGATCTATGAAAGTAGACAATGATCTTGTGACAAATGGTGCTGCAGATGGATTCCGGAGACCGGGCTCAATTGATGGAGGGTGAGCTAAAGTTTTACACTTCCACTGGTCATTTTTCCTGACCCTAAGTTTGGTTGGTTTTGAGGATTTATTAGTGAAGAAGGATGAAAAGATAAATATTTGAAAGTGTACTAGTGTGGTAATGACCAGAAAAAAAAAGTTTAACAGAAAATATGTTTCAATAATGTAAATTAATTTTCCTCTAAAAAAGGCTAGATAATTAGAAAAAGATGAAACTGTTATTTTTTCACAGTGCCACACCAAATTGTTTGCCACCTTTATCTATTCATCAATTTCTTGATTATTATTTGAAAATTAAAAGAGTTATACATGCATAGAGAACTTATTTGTTTATTTCATTTCATTTATGCTCCTTGAAGGGCCACTTAATTCCTTTCTAGTATTTCACTTCCTATGTCAGTATCTTTCAATGCACAAACTATACTAAATTTCAAATTCTCAGTTCCCTATTTTAAGTATTACTGTGTTCTTTCTTTTTATCGTTTTCTTTCTCTTCCACACATTTTAAAACAGTCTATGGCTGGTAATCTTTCTCTTAGGATTTTTTGTCTGCCTAGTTTTTTTCTGAATGTCTCTTGAGCTTCCCTGTGCATTGGCATCAAGAAGCTTCATTCATATTCGGTGTAGTTGAATTGGTGTTCTTACTCTCTTAAGTATGGGGACTTTTGGGGTGTGTTTACTTTGTGTTTTTAGGTGAATTTGTTTTTTATGTTAGGTATAGGAAATTGTGTCGGTAATATAAAAAATAATATTGTGTTGAATTGTTGACTTTGTGTGAGTTGATCAAATGTATATGTTATATATATATTGTTTTAATGTGTGTATATAATGTATTTCTTTTAATAATATTTATGAAAAATTGTACCATTGAAAAACACAAAGTGAACAAACCGTTTGCTCTCACTTGAATGAAAAATTGTTAATAATTTTTTTGAATGATTTATGTAAATGTGTTTGGGCACGAGTATCTTAAATATAAATCTATAGCATACAGAAATCACTTGAAGAACATATGGTTTTACAAATGGTATACATCTTATGTGAATATGTGCATACATTTTAAAATATTTCCTTCTATAAAAATCTATAAATGCCTTTGCTTTTGTTTCATATATTATTCATATTACCTCAGTCATAGCACAGCCGCATTAGGTTGATAACCGGTCATAAGTTTTTCACTTTTCAAGATACGCAGTCCAATTATAAATTTATGCTTTGTTATATGCAACAAGGGGAACTCCAAAGCACATTTACACCCTTAAAATTAAGATTGGCCATATTATGCTTCACATAAATGAAACTATTTTTTGTTATCTTCCCTTTCTTCTCCTATGCCTCAGTTCATCAATCAGTGGCTACATCGAGGATGGCATGACTGATTTCAATGATGATGCTGATGGACATACTCCTACAATGAAGGCAAATAATGGTGATACTGGCTCAAGGGATGTGAAAGTTCGGTCTCGTCAGATTCCCATCTGGCTATCAGATTCCACTCCTGATGAATTTGTTGTATGCGCTTTACTACTTTGAATGGCTCTTGTTGAGGTTACTTGTTCTTAGCTTTTAAATGTGCTAAATTGCTTGTGTAACTCAATACAGGAAGCAATGAGAAAGAGTGATGCTCCAGTTTTTGTGAAATACTTGCGGACTATGGTTGAGTGCCTCTGTGTGCTTGGGAAAGTTGCTGCTGCTGGTGCTATGATATGGTATGTTATTAAATATAACTACAATTTATCTCTCTTCAATAATTTGCAGCTACACATGGCTACTATGCTGTAACTCATGATTTTATATGTTTTAGTGTAAATGAATTATGCTTTGGAGATGAGATAACAGAATTTCTGTGCCCAACTGGAAATTGATCATCTGAAAGATAGCACAAAAACTGGGAACTAGTTAGAAGAAACAAGTTGAGCTGTTAATTTAATCTTTCTTGTTTGTTGAAACTAGTTACTTTAAATTTTACAATAGTCATTTGATGACGTAAGTATAGTATGAAAACCCAAAAGTTATTAGTTGATTCTCAACCACCACCCATTTATTAAAAACTTTACATACTAAAGGGATCATGTGCATAGAGAGGAACATGTTAAAGCAGGTAAAACTATAAACCATAAGATTATGTCATTGAGTTCCTAGTTACATGAAATCTATTACTTGAACACGAACTGAATTATTTGCCTACTTATCTATAGAAACCTACAGTTTATTTGAATTTTAAATTGTGTTATATGATAATAAAATAGTTCTTGATGTAAGTGAGATTACAAATATATAGAAGTCTATTTAAACCACACCAATAAACTCTTGTCTATCTAAACTATACAATCAACGCTCTTCCTCAAGCTGTAGTATATATATTTATCATACCCAGCTTTGTTACAACTTGTTAAGAAGGTTTCTGGGATTCCAATTTAAAACCAATTGCTATTAAGTGGAGTAGTTCTTTCACCCTTAGAAGGCAAGGGAGACCTAACATTTTGTGGGATATATTCAACACTCTCCCCTCGAGATGATATCATCTCAAAATTCTAATCAGAATCAATACCCAATACGGGTATCATGGTTTTAATACCATGTTAAGAAGAGTTATGAGGTTCCAACTTAAAACTAATTGGTATTAAGTGGAGTAGCTCTTCACTCTTATAAGGCAAGGGAATCCCAACATCTTTTCCAATGTGGGATATATTCAACAACTTTTCCCTGTATTTTTTCTGCCACTGCCTGAATTATAGTGAAAGTTAGCATTGTTTGGTTGTTGCAAGTTTTTTTTGTTTGGTCTAAAGCTCGAGCTTTAGTAGTCTTGAATCTGGGATTTACTGTCTTTGTGTGGTGTAACATGAAGCCTACAAACAACAAACTTACGTGGCAAGCATTATTTCAAAGATATTTTCCACATGCTTTTGGAGCCATAGCTACCAGTATCATGCTTTCTATGGTTATCACTCAAGTAATGGATCTTTTGTGATACTAAACTACCTGGAAAATATGGATGCTTTGGTTTCATACCTAAAAGCCAACCAGTTTAAGTGTCCTAACTCATATTGTTCAAATTGTATGAGATTAGAAGAAACAAGCCACCTTGCTGGCATTTTCCCATCAATTTCAATGCTGCTCTAACTTCTTGGTTTTTATTTTTTAGCCAACGCTTACGCCCTACTGTCCATGAAATTATTACCACCAAGATCAAAGCTCAAGCAGAACGTGCTGCAGGAAAAAAGTCTGGTCTTGGTCACACGTCCTTGTCCACATCATCAGGTCTACGATATCTGAAAGGGAGGGTGGAGGGTCATCACTTACCTCAACAAAAACGTCTGAATGGCGTATCAACCACAGGAGCTTTGTCAGCAACAAGCCCTGTCTCTCACATGATGTCTCCTTCTGGTGCTGCCCAATTTGCAGCCAGGGAATTACTTGATTCTATACTGGATACTGTTGTTCAAATATTTGGTATGAGATTGCAATTTTTTTGGAAATCTATTTTTTTAAGCTTTCTTTTTCCTCATGTTGGTATAATATTCCAGAAAACCATGTCATTGTTGGAGAGCTACTTGAATTGAAATCTTCACAACAAGTTAACCTGAATACGCCAAAAGCATTGGCTGGAGAGATTAGTTGGAATCATGATTCGGACGCTTCTCATGATACTGGAGGTTATTCTATTGGCTTTTCCTTGACTGTTATACAGGTTTTTCCTTAACTTATATTCTAGTAGTTAGATTTTGTGCTTCAACCTCAATTTGGGGATAGACCTGTTTAGCTGTATTACTATGTCACCCAATGCATGATGACAGAGTGAGTGCCAACAACTTATATGTGAGATCCTGCGAGCAACTCCTGAAGCCGCATCTGCAGACGCATCTGTGCAAACAGCTAGACTTGCTGGCAAGACCAGTCCCTCGAATGAAAAGAGGCAAGTAAACATTATCTTATTCTTTCATCTGATATTTTCCTTCCCTTTGAAGGTTTACCTTATCTAGGCATTTTCTTTTCTGTACACCAGCCTTATTTCTACGGCTTGGTGTTTTATGTTTTGACCATTAATTCATCTTCTGTTATCCACATTTTAAAAACTCTTGTACTTGTAGTAAATGCTGTGGCATGGTGTTGACATGAGTTTCTGTTACTATGGGAATCTATGCACTTTTCAGCTTTTATGGAATTGTGTTGAAATGATGATCGATGTAGTGGTATCCAATGAGTAACTTAATAACTTTGATTTTGTCATTGACCAAAAACTTATTTGAGCGGAATGGTTATTCTTTTAGAATGCTTGTCCTCAAAATTGTAGTGGGCATATATACGATGTGATTTGCTGTTAGAATCACTTGTGGTCCGATCTCCAGTACAGTTATGTTAATTGTTTTGGCTTACAGTGATGGATCAGACGATGGCCTTGTCTTCACATTCCGCTTCACAGATGCTACTGTTTCCATTTCTAATCAGGGTAAGAAGGAGATGTACTGTCAGTTCCTGCCCTGCTTCATTCAATCTTCCACCTTTGATGTTAGTGAAATGGCTTTATTGTTCTTATGCTAATCCAAAAATCATTCTGTTTTTCCATGATGTTGGGTTGACAAAGTTATATATCAGTGCTTTGATAATCACTATTGTGTGCGTCAATGCTATCGTGTGTGATAATAAGGAAAGCTCTTCATTTTGTCATGAGCTTTACCGAGTCACTTTACATAGGGACTGATCTTCTTCGGCAAGGATGGAAAAAGGGCGCCAGTGTACACCAGGAAGGATATGGAAGTGGAACTGTGTTACCCGAACAAGGGATATATTTAGCAGCATCATTGTACAGGCCAGTGCATAAGGTATGACTCGGCAGAAGGAATTAAATTCCCCAGTGGACCATTTTCCAGGTTGCTCTAATAGAAATGTAAATTACTATTTCCTTATGTTTCCCACTTGACATGTGCAGTTTACAGATAAAGTTGCATCAATGCTCCCCCAAAAGGTTTCCCAAATCAGGCAAGCACATTCAGCACCATCTTATAACTTCTATAGCATATAATTGCATTGATTTGTGTGAATGCTGTGGTGACTTCTGTACTATGAGCTCCAGTCAATTTTCAAGTTCCTTCAACATTTTCATTCACAAACCCAGTGCAGCAGACGATTTTCTACATATTAAAATGGTGTAGTTAGAACACATACTTTTGTGGGGTGTGGCGGGGAAATTAACTTTTATGATTCTGCGAACTTATATGATCCTAATTTAAATTGGTGATTGACATCAGTTCTTTTCTTCAAATAATGGTGACAATGTCATGACTCATGGTAATTTGTTAACTTATTCGATGCCTCATGTAAGTGGAACTTGATTTTATATAAATATGTATATATATGGGAATTGTGTTGTATTTCCCTTGAATTGGCATGAATCAATTTAATCCTAAATACTTACCTTGTTTTGGTACAATTGAAATTAAGGGTTGAAGATGAAAGTGGCATTCCTATAGTTGTGATATAATTACTGAACATTGCCAAATTGTCATGGTGTTTTTCATGTATAATGACCCACAAACATGAGAGACTGATCATCATTGTGTCCTTTTGGCCTGATACTTATATATTTGATTATTCCCCATCTGGACTGCTATTCTTTCCCTTTTGTATGTTGTAGGCTTAAGTGTATCTTTTGTCACCTGAACCGCATGCGCTTCTTACTAAGTTTGGAAACCTCAATGGAGATTTAGTAGCCATTATATTTGAGTTATTTTATTTTTATGATAATATTTTTATTGTTCAGCAGAATTGGGCCTTTGTTGAGTAGGAAAGCATTAGTGCTGAACTGAGATACTCCGCCTTATGGCTGCTAACTTTTTGTGTGTTCCACATGATATTCTATGGACAGTATAGAAGGAATGAGATAGGCGGGCTTTTGTTGGATGACAAATGTATAGGACATAGTTTGAGATGTGCATTTTTGGTATACACAGAACATAATAGAGTGCTTTAACTTCCAATTCCTCTACATCGATCAGCCAACCGAGCAGTTAAGTCAAACTGGTATATATGAAATTTTTTAAATTTACAAACATTAAGTGCGTCTCCTTGTTCTACTGTTGCTGTTTGCAGTAGTTGAAAGCTTGGCTGGAGTCTGTCAACAAACTTCAGAAAGTAAATATACTTGTTCAGGACACAAGATTTACTAAAAGTTAATGGTTGAGACGTACTGGCTTCATTGGATCCCTTTATTTTCGTTAAGAGATACAAGAATTATGTAGCTTGTTTGATATGAAGTAGTTGCTTCATGATTTTGAACCTATCTACACTTTTTATGAAAATGGAAGCTCTTGTGCAAATCCAAATAGGCATTAATCCATGGCTCCATGCTATTTGTATCATAATTGAACCTTCTAAAACATGATTCCCGGTTTTTCTTCTCTGAGCTATCCTAACCTCTCTTATTCTGTCAAATGTTTCCAGTAGTCTTTTGTTTATTTTTGTATGTGTAATCTGATTCTGCATAACCTATTCATTCGGTGAAGAACTTGTATTTCTGAACCTTACTCATTTCACTTTTATAGCTTACAGTACATCTTTATGCTACCATTTTTGCCTCATACTGGTGAATTAAATTTTGCAGCAATGATGGGTTGCTTTCGTTTGTGGAGAACTTTGTGAAGGATCACTTTTTACCAACGTTGTTTGTAGATTACAGAAAAAGCGTACAGCAAGCCATATCAAGCAAGTCTCATGAACTTATTTTCTTCCTGCCAATAATTGAATAATATCTTTAATCTCTTTGTTTGATGAGTATGTTATTACTTTAGTCTAATATGTTTCAAGTGTCAAATGTAGTTGTTGACTGCAATATAGTAGATTCAGTATGATTTGGGTCTTCTGGGTGACTGCTTGTGATAGATACACCATGGACACCAGTTTACAGCATGTGAAGCATTGTGTAGATGTAGCTAAGCCTCTAGAAATCTAAAGCATGAAGTCTAGAGTTCAAATCTAATCAATTATAGTATTGACTTTTTTCTCCCCTGAAATCTTGCAATATGAATTGAAGAGACTTTCAGCATGGGTGTGTGTGCATTTTTTTGGAACTCAAATAGAATTGCTATTCTTAACTCATGGAATTATTCTTTTGAAGGTAGTTCATGCCATAAGTTTAATAATCACTGTTGGCCGCACCTAATCAAATTTCATTGCTTGCCATGGTGCATGGGCACAACACAGTGCGCTCATATTGAATCTCACTGGAATTACTTACTAAAACATATCTATTCTACCAACTTATCATAAAACTAGAAAGAAAATCTGTGTAATAAATTAACACTTGTAATCTTCAATATCTACTTCAATAAACAAGATAATAGGTGTTCAACCTTCAAGGTATGCACCAAATTCGGTTTTATTAAGTCAAATAAAACACATGGAACTAATTTAACATTGTATTGAACTACACTAGTGGTGGCTTGAACCAGACTGCTGTTATTTCTTTCATCATTGGAAAAGGTTTAGCTGGTGCTATTTATTTCATGATGAACGGTATTATATTCTTAGCATCTAAATGTAATCTATAAAATTTCTATTGTCAGTTTTAATGTTATTTACTTTATATTTCTAGATAAAGTAAATATAGGGGTTTTGGTGATTTCAACAAGACTTTAGCTATTGTAAGCTGAACCATGTGTAGTTAACATAATCTCATTGCATTGAACATGCTAGGAGATGCTTATGTTCACACCGAGAGCTTTAATGGCGTTTAGATCCTAAACCCTAAACCCCCAAGTGCAGTATGTGTAAATATGGTGAACAATTCTGATATGTTTTCTTCTTTAAACAGGTCCAGCTGCATTTCGCCCACGGGCTAGTGCAGCTGCTTCGTATACTCCATCAGTTGAGAAGGGGCGTCCTGTCTTACAAGGACTGCTGGCAATAGATTTCTTAGCAAAAGAGGTATTATTGATGTCATATTAACTGTAATGATGGGTCACAGTAATATATTAATAGAAACAAATGGTTCGTGTCTCTTACTATCCCATGCCAATTTGTCTAGGTACATGGGTGGGCTCAAGCAATGCCAAAATTTTCTGGTGGTCTAATTAGCTATGTAAAAACTTTCCTTGAAAGAGCATATGAAAGGTGTCGAACATCATATATGGAGGTTTGAACCTTGCCCTTGCTATCCCTTTATTCCAATTTTTAAGTATTATCTAAAAGATCGCGTATGTATTCTTTAATTTTGTCTTACCATGGAGAAAAGCATGTTCATACGCATTCTTGTGTTCATCCTCTTCTCTTTTTGATTGTTGATTTTATTGTTATTCCTTATGACACTTGGATGCATGCTGATTGTGATGGGATCGATATGCAAAACAACCTTTGGATACTCCTGTATTTCTTAATAGAAGAAATTGTAATCTTAAGTTTGGTTTGAAATATTAGCATATGTTCCTTGACTGCTTTGCATGTTCATCTTGATTAGATGACTTTCAAGGCTTCATGCTAACATAAAAGGTGATTATCTTAAAATATCTTTAACCATAAGAGGTTGTTATTGAAAAATGGATGCAGATATCATAGACGAGATACTGTGCAAACTGCAAAGCTTCAGATATCATCTGAGCATTAGTTACTTTTCTTATATTTTAATTCCTGGAACTCTGTTGGTTGAAATACCAGGCTGTTCTTGAGAAGCAAAGCTACATGCTCATCGGGAGGCACGATATAGAGAGGCTGCTGCGACTTGAACCAGCAAGTGCATGTTTACCAAATTCAGCAGATTATTTTGGTGAAACATATGGATATGATACAGAGTCTTCTGATATCGAAAATCAATTAAGTGATATACTACTTAATTTGAGGCCTATCAAGCAGGTATTCTTAGTCAGCTTATCTGTACATAGAAGCACAGATGATATGTCAGGTTTTAGTGAGAATGGATGACCTTAGACTAATTTTACATTTGGTTTATATATCTTCAGGAGAACCTGATTCATGATGATAACAAACTTATTCTATTGGCTTCATTGAGTGATTCATTAGAATATGTTGCGGACTCAATAGAAAGGTAAGTTGCCTGTTATGTTGCATTAATAAGGTTATTTTGTCATCAGGTTTTGGCATCTAGGAACCCATCTCTTACTTTGCCTTTTGAATTATGGTTAGATAGTTTAGATGGTTAAAAAGGTGGCTTTATGACATGATGTGTTAGTTGTTGTCCTTCTCAGGCTTTACCATTCATATTACTCTATTTAAATTTATGATATCATGTACACTTTATGTCCGTCCTCCCCCCGCCCTTTTCTTTTAATAATCATATCCACCATCAAGTGATGCTTTGTGGATCAACGAACATAAATTCCAGAATTATATATGACTATATGTTTGAAATCTTTGGAGATGTTAATAATCAGATTATAGACAAGGAGGGTTAATTTTCCGTTGGAGGGATGGTTGGTGCATCTGACTTGAAGAAACTGAAAAGATTGAAACTGCTACTATCCATGTTAACGTAAATACGTGCAGATGTGATGATTTTACCCTAATATGGTAGCTCAAGAGCTCAACTGTTGTGAATGACTCTCAAGCTTCTAAGTGAATATGTAATATGTGAAAGCAATTGCAATGGATGGAGTTGATGGCATTCTGTGACTAATTAAGGATATATATATATATATATATATCAACTTATGTGGTGTTTTACATTTTCCTTCTTATGTACAATAGGCTAGGGCAGTTATCTTCCACATCAGATGATCATTTGGAAGAAAATGGAATGCCGAAGTCCCATGATGGATCTTTAAGAGGTCTTGCATCATTTGCTGAAGAGTATAGAAGATTGGCAATTGATTGTCTTAAAGTTCTTCGGATAGAAATGATGCTGGAGACAATTTCTCATATGCAGGTACATGAAATATTGTCTACCATCAAATTGTTATAACAGCAATTTCTCCATCTTGCTAACAAGTAGCTGTTTTCATTAAGTAATAATTTATGCTTTAAAAAATTGTGAATCAATGTAGGAAATGGCAAATAGGTCTTACATGGACGACCAAGATGCAGAGGAGCCTGATGACTTTGTTATATCATTAACTTCCCAGGTATGTTATTAATTGTGACAATTAGTTGGATTCTGTATTATTGTGTTATTAGACTACAGAATCATATCCAGAGTCCAGACATTGTCAAAAAGCTAGCATTTAACGGTTATTTATAAGTTGTTTTAATGCGACACTGACAGTTAGCACTCACAGTATTTTTCTTACAGGATTCATTCCATTCTTACAAATAGATGGAAATGTGTTTTTTCATTCCTAAAAGCATGTTCACAGTAACAAATTACATGTTGAAATATACATAGTATTACGACACTAGACCAAATGAAATATCTAGAAACAAACTCAAAAGAAGAAACTATAAGAATGCAGAATAATCCTCTTCATTCCTAGTTTGATGCTGACTTACTTTTAATCTTGGGAAGTAATAGAGTTATTCTCCAGGAAAGGTTTTGTTTGCTTCAAACGTTTCATCATCCAGCATTTATTAATAATTTTTCTCCTCGACTAAGCTCACAGTTCACAGTGCATGTGGCTATAGGGTTTTCGTTATTTGTTTTACTTTTTTCACCCAGTTGAATTTATGTGGTCACAAACATCTGAATTATCATGCTCTTTTCAGCCTATCTGAATATTCATTAAATTTACTTGGCCAATGTCCATGTCCTCAGTGGTAATCAAATGTGAGAATGTTACTGTATTCAAATGAGAGATTCCAGTGTCACCTTAATGAACCCATTTAACTTGGCTCTTGCATAGTGAACTCCTCCGACCCATCCAAAAACTGATGCATATAAAAATAAAAAGGGATCTGAACTGAAACTTTACCTATTTTCTCCCACTTCTCTTTAGATTTATGGAAACTCTACTTCTCAGGGAGACAACTTAGTGCTTCAGAGAAATCAAATAGGATTGTGTGTACTAAAGACTGCAAGCTTGCAAATATGTGTTCCCGGAAAGGTTTTTTGATAACTACAGAGAAAAGACCTGTGCAATCTGTGTGGATTGAGAGTGTTCTTGTTTGTTCATTTTACTTGGATTAATTGCATCTAATCTTTAATGGAAGAAACAGTCCCCTTTCCCCTTTTTACATCAATTCCACGACAATAGTTTGGTGAGGTTGTGAATTGATTTAGGTTCTTAAAATGACCTACTCCTTGTCTACATAGATATCACGCCGGGATGAAGAAATGGCCCCATACGTTGCAGATGTGAAAAGAAATTACATATTTGGAGGAATATGCAGTATTGCAGCTAATCTGTCATTGAAGGTTTGTTATCACCTGTGCTTATATTAAATGCATCCACAAGACTCTGGAGAAGCACCAATTCTAGTTCTTAGATGTACTTACGATGAAATCATTAATCTCTTCTAGGTTTTGGCTGGAATGAAGTCTATTGACCTCTTTGGAGTTCAGCAGATTTGTCGTAATTCAATTGCACTGGAACAGGTTTCTTATCCTTGTGCTCTCTCTCTTTCTTCTTCTGGGAGCTACTAAAATATTTTGGATGATTCAATCTGAAATTTCAGACAAGTAAATCTATGCTGAACATGTTTTAGACAAGCTATAATGATATTTGCATTCAATATGAGACTAGTAACTATGTTACTTGAATAAGCATGTATCGACAGTCTAGTAGATGCTGATGCCACATCAAGATTTCCTCTTACACACAAAGTACTTGATTAAAGCCTTTGCCTCTAACACATGTTCATTATAAGGAGACTAGAAGAAAATTTTTGATTTTCCATCTCAAGAGCTACTTTAATACCCAGTTTTTAAAATGGAGGTTAATGAAATATGCTGTTTGTAGTCTTGGTCAATATATAATTTGTATCTCCGAAGTCTATTGCTGAATGTTCATTAAACTAGGTGGATTGCTTGAGTTCCCTGTTGATGTGCTTTGAACAAATATTTCATTCATTTCCCATTTCTTGAAAGCATCACAACTGATGTAATCAATTTTCTTTGTGCTCATATTTAGGCTTTGGCAGCTATTCCTTCAATCGACAGTGAAGTTGTGCAGATGAAACTGGATCATGTTCGGACGTATTATGAATTATTAAACATGCCCTTTGAGGTAAACACTCCCCTCTCTCTCTCTTTCTCTCTCACTCTCTCTCCCTACCTTCGACACTTCTATGGCCTTCACAGGAATCATATTGGATAAAATTTTCAATTGATAAAAAATTTACTTTGACCTTCCAGGCACTGCTTGCATTCATTTCAGAACACGAAACCCTCTTTGCGGCTGCAGAGTAAGTTTATTCAGCCATTTTAGAATCTCTGGTGTCTAAATGTCACAATCATCTCTAATCCAACGAGACATCCGGCTGCAGGTACGGCAATCTTTTGAAGGTACAAGTCCCAGGCAGGGAAATCCCCGATGATGCTATGGATCGTATGGCGGAGATCATACCCCTCTAAAGATGACGAAAAGCTATCTCTCGTTTATTAAAGTAAGCACCTTCTCACATCAAACGAAATGTCAGTGGATGAAATATAAGCGAAGGCGAAGTGAGAAGCAAGCCGTATGAGTTCGAGTTTATATTGCGAACTTGTGAGCAATTATTACATTAATTTCTGATATGTTTCTTCGATTTCTTGGATCAGAATGGTGTCCATCCAATTCTGTATATTGTGGTGTGGAGGGATTTTGATGAGGATTTTGCTTTCTAGATGATGATGATATTGAGAAATATGAGTGTTTATCTGGAGTTGCAGAGAGTGTTTTACAGCAGAATGAAATAGTTGGTGTATGTTTTTGAAGCAAAGTGAAGTGATGAGATATTATTTATTTATGTTTGCCTTGTATGAATATTGATTAATTCTTGCTTGCTGCAGTTATTGGATGTGTTGTAAAATATGGTACATTTTAAATTGTGCAATATATTATATGATAATATAATATAAATACCATACATAAGAATATCACAATAGTCGATACAATATATATTATATTTGATTTCATTACATACGTTATATTAACAAAGTATATATGATATATAAAAGAATAAAACAGGCAATAAGCATGTTAAATTGTGTTTGATATGTTGAAATGAATAATTACTATGGTGTTTATTATACCAATTCAGCATTCTAACATGTTCCTATACATCAAATATGCTAATGATATTTTTGTAATTAAATTGTTCAACAATTATAAGTTATATTTCCTTAGTTTAGACATTTTATTTGTAATTTACAAAGAAAATATCTATAGATTTGGCATATTGGGAAGAAGTATATGTATTTTTTGTTATCATCACTTTTATATTATATGCATTTATTTAAGACATTATATAAGTATGCATTCTTCGGTTAAATTAACAAACTTCTAATTGTCCATGCTTGTGTGGTTTTTAGTTGAGTTTAATATGAAAAAAAAAAAAAAAAAAAAAGAATAATTTAATATCTTAATACAATATTTTATAAAATACAATAATATAATTTTATTAAAAATTTCTTTTGGTTGAAAAGAGCATGAAAATTTGATAGATTTGATCCATTCCTCAGAGGATGCAAGAACAACACTCGTGTCTTTCTATGTACAATTGGCAAAAAATGTCAAATGCAATTACAAGTGTATACATATACACAATAAACACAATTAAAATGTATGTATGTATATTTGTTCATTCCAACTTTTGGAAACACACTACAAAAATGTTCTAAAAACACAAGCTAAATACAACAATATGAACCTTGAATCCTTCATCATCACTAAGCCTTGAGTTCCCTTTGGAATAATGGACTTAACCGGAGCGTCTTCTTCGCCAAATTCCGGATATCTTCCCTTGTCGACTCACCCGAAATCTCAATCAGTTCTTTATGTCCCCCACTGCTTATGAAATCCGGAGCATTTTCCTCTGTAAAACCACAAACTAAATCGCATTAAATCAGTGAAATCAAATTTCTACACATCAACACAAGTGCTCGTCTATGCCATTAATAAGCTTCGAAAAAATTTCCAACATTATCTTTCAAGATATCTCCTGCAGTACAAATAATAGAAATTATTTTTCAAATATGTTTTCATCTTACAAATCAAATGCATGTAAGGATCATCTCAGTTTTTCGATACTTAAATAGCCTAGTGAATTAGGCTCTATTCTCTTTGAGATTTTTTTTTTACTCTTCTTTTAGTTTTTTTACTATACCATTCTTACTAACTTCTATAAAAATATATTATTTCTCACAAAGATCACATTTAATCACTATTTAAACACAAAAAATTCGGACACAAAGACAAACCAAACACACCCTTAAACTCGAGATATTAACGCTAAGTTCATATAAAAAAACTAAATAGATCACTAACCCCAAGTTCTTGAAATGTAATGGGAATGCTCATTCAAAAACATTTGATCTCATTTAACATTTTTGCATAGAAAAAATAAGGATCGTACCGTTTTGAGCTAAATGGCAAATAGCAAGCTCAATGTGCCGTCTAGTTGAAGGTGTCGAGGTGTTCAAGTTGGAGATAAGCCACGACAAACCTCCGTCTTCCATTAGAAGTGAACGGCCTCTCCAATTACCTAAAGTACACATTATTGAAAGGTGCACTCACGAAAAATCCTTTAAAACTAAAAATAAATACACCTTGTGCTATACCTTGCATGATTCTTCTCGACTCACATTTGGCAAAGTTGGCGAATCCTCGGGCGACCTGAGCAATGACAACATCGTTTCCATGGGAAGTCATTTTCAGAAGAGCGTCGATGGCTCCCTCTTCTTTCAACAATGAATGTAACTTTTCTGCGATGAGAAAAAGGGAACATTCATACAAATTTCAATGGCTAACAAATGGTCACCACTCATTTACCAAAGGGATCACTAACTACCACAGATAAGAAGCCAAGGTTTGAACTGTATCGATTATTACCATGTAGTAAAGTTTATGCATTAGATAATTCCCTTGTCAATATACTTTAAATATGAGTTAGACCAAACAACAGTGCTGAAGTGAATGAATTGGTTCCTCTTTTGAAGCTGATGTGAAAGAGAAATGAAAACTCATTCACAAGCAAGGGAAGCATTCGATAACTAAATAGGAACACGACAGTCTGAGAGCTGCTCAAATCAACTCGACTCAATAAGGTTTTCAATCAACTCGGCTAAGGTTGACTTAAAGATTCTACTTAACGAGTAGAACTTGGTTTCATTTAGTTAATCAAGAAAATTCAATAAATCGTTTGAGTCAAGTTTGAAAATTTGAAACTTGACTCAACTTGATTTGCTCTAGTCATTCATTCATTACGAAAAAAAACTGAGTTAATTGATTTCGGAACAGATTACAACCATCAGGAGAGAAAACATATCAGGAAGCTGACTTCATAAACTAACTTTCAAAGGCGAATCTACTTGTAAAATGATCTTAGGGAGTACCATTTCCACATAAATTGGCAATTGCTCCAGCAACCATCCGAAGAGTTTGAGGATCGTTGGTTTTGCAATGAACATTTGCAAGAAGTTTAGCCCCACCTTTCTTGGTTATCAAACCTTGATTTGTTTCTGAAGGAAAATAATTGTGTATTCACATTATACGGATATATATATAAAATCCTCAATCAAAACAATAATGGAACCAAGTATGGATTTACCATTCATGGCCAAGTTAGCAATTGCTCCAGAAGCAACCCTAAGTATTGTTGTGTTAAGTGATGAATCTAACAGCTTGAGCAGCGCATCAAGACCGCCTTCCTGCACAATTCTTTCCTGATTGATATCTGAAATTGGAAAATAGTAACTCAAGATAAAGTTTTAAAGCTAAGTTATTACAAAAGACATTCAAAGAATACTAAGTATTTGAACATCATCCTTATTTTGCATACAATAGATCATATTTTTCTTTCTCATTTCAGCAGCTATGAAATTGTATATTGGGAGAAAGTTCCATTCTATTGAAGGCTGCTCATAAATGTTACGAAAGCATTCTTGAGAGAACATAATTCGATAAATCAAAGCACTAAATAAGATACTAAGAGTTGAGTGTTTTTGTACTGAACATGAAAATAATTAAAGCACTCAACTCAGATATGAATCTCAATCGTTGCATACCTTCAGCAGCGAGGTTAGCAACAACTTTCACGGCATGAATTTGGACATCCAAGTCGCAAGATTCTAACAAAGATAATATCTTCTGAAAACCAACTGCAAAATAAAAGAACAGAGGCTCGTGAATACAGAGAAGGAATGCAATTGGTGACATTTTATACAGAAAATACATAGTTCATTCAAGCAAATGTAGTAATGAGTTCATCTAAAGCTCAGAATCTTGCCTTCCTCACATATTTTGGTGATTGTATCTCTCTGGCTAAGGATAGATTCCCTCGACCGGCACTTGTGTACACTTTGTGGGCTGTGAAAATCAGAAGTTGTTCTTCCTCTATTTTCATGCATATACGATACTTTTTCCTGCAAGAAGTTAAATTATAAGATATTGTAACAAGTACAGTTCATATATTGAATCAAGCAGATTATTTTTTTACCTCAAAGCCATCTTCACTTTCCGGGACAACCCTCATCATTTTAAGCAGCTCTTTTTCAGCTTCCTTTCTTTGCCTTTCCTCTACCTGAAGTCTCTGTCTCATAGCACTAAGCTCCTGTTGAAGTTTTGTCTGAAGATTTACATTGTAACTCGTTAAAATTTTGAAATTGCAGTTCCCAGATGTGTTTTTACGCTGAATTAGAAATAAAAATATAATGCATACCACCTGATTAAATAGAAGTTGAAATGTCTGTGTTTGAAGGTACCTTTTCTGATTCGATATTCTTGCATTCAATGCTTAATAACTGAAGCTCATTGGTAGCTGTCTCATGGAGGTTATGCATTTCTTGCAGCCTCATTTGGAGCTCATCGATCTCTTCCTTTGCACTAATCTAGAATACAGGAAGAAGAACAAGCTCGTCAAAGATTAAAGAAATCAAATAATGACCTGTGATCCACACATCTATCAGACTCATACAAATATAACTAGATGCATCTTCGTAGTAGTTAAACTTTTAGTTAAAATAGTCAGTTTAATATGGTAACAAAGTTGGTAGTATGATGTTCAAATATCCACCATCATCCTTTTATGGAAAATAGTTCAATGGAACAATTAAATGTAATAAAAAAAAATGACATTCCGACGAGCTTCAACTGCCGAATATGATAAGTACACGAAGATGCAAATACCATGTCCATAAAGGTAATGAAAGGTGTTTTCAACCTGGAGAAGCTTTTTTGTGTAATCCAATTCATCGATTTCTTCAATCCGAGCATGCTCCTCAGCAAGCTTTTGGTTTAGTAGTTCTACTCTCTCTTCATACATCTTAGTGGTGTCTGTAAGTGTTTTACGGAATTTCAAATTTTCATCTTGTGTTCGCTGTAATAAGGCAAGGCATTAATTGAGGTCAACAGTAAAACTCGGATAGTGGATAAATTTTAAGTATAAAGATTGTTTAGTAAAATCCACCTGCAACATAAGTTGAGCATCAGTTAATTGCTCCTTCATCTTCTTTATTTCTTCTTCTGCAAGACTCGATCCAATTTTTTCCTTGTCCATTTGCTTCATCAAGTCAGCAATTTTCTCTTCGTACATCCTGGTTGTATCAGCAAGTATTTTCTGGTTCTCCGAATTATTGAGCTGCTGTTGCTACTAACAAAGAAAACAACAGCCTTACACCTTTTGGAAATGCAAATTTGAATGGAATGAAAAACGAACAGAAGTTTTCAATTATTACATTGAAGATATCTAGAAAAAAATGTATTGAAGTTGCAGGCTGTAAAATTGTACTTATAATCCCATAAGAAATTTGTCAATATCTATTTTAACCATATAATTGCTACTGTCATCAAGAATAACAAAAATAATGTTCAGCAAAACATGCATGACCAATAAATGGATCGTGCCTAACATAACATATTAATTGTTAGATAATCGTCTCACCTAAAAGTTTAACCTAATAGAGAAATGCATCATTATACAGCCTTCCAACAAAGTAAAGAACTGTTTGCTCTTTTTAATTTTTTCCCCATACATTTTCCAAAAAAATTAATATAATACACACATCCATTATTTTTATATTCTCTACACAATTCCCTAAACCTCACATAAAAAGTCTCTCTTCAAACTATTTTCACAAAACAAACACACCCAAATATACTTTAAAATTGCAATATTATACTCCTTTCATCATTCAAATGCGTACTCAAACTTTTGGGTACGGGCTTTAACATGGGTGTGTACTTTTTGTTATTTTTTGCCTTTATAGTAAATATATATATATAAAATAATCGGGTGTGTTTGTTTGTGGGATATTGATTTTGAATAGTCTAATTCTGAATTGAAATAGTTGTTTGAGATGTGATATAAGTATGTATTGATATGATATTAATGTAGAATTAAATTTTAATGTAATACTACCTCCATCCACTTAATAAGTTTGACATTTATTTTTTTATATTACTCTTTAAAATAGTAATTATTATATTAAAACGTAGTACAAATCAAGAGAAAAAGACAAAAATACTTCTATTAATATTTTATAATACAAATATAATGAAATTTGTATAATAAATTATACAAATATAAGGATATTTTTAATATTAAGTACAATGACATAAAAGGTAAATGTAAACTTACAAATAAGGGTGTGTTTGTTTGGAGGATTGGGAAGAATTTACACTATTCATACAAATTTTTCCCCTAAAAAATTAAATCGAACACTTATTTTTCATTTTTTATATTATATTAAAAATCAATTTTATATTCAAAACATCACATTAATACTTATTTATATCACATCATATTACTATTTAAATTCAAATTTTTTACTATTCAAATCCCAACTTAAAATCCAAACTCTCCAAACAAACTTTTTATGACAGCTTAAAAAGGAAAATGAGCATAAATTTGGAAGAGAGCAACTAATTTCACAATATCAAGAGTAAAACAAATAGAAATGTTAACTTATTGTTAGACTAAAGGTAAGAGTTCTCGTCCATACCTTCCCATGCTTCAAACTCGTCTCTAGGTTCGTGAACTCACTGCGTATGACAGCATTTTGATCTTTCAGGCATTTCAGATCATCTACTGCATTGTTCAGCTCAAATTCCAGCCGAGCATTTTCCTCCTGCAGAAACTGTAACCATCGAAACCTCTTAGCTGACATAAGTCAACTGGAAATTTTGGGTGTGATTTAGTAACAGTTTTCGACTAAGATAAAACTTTAACAAAACTTATTTACCTTATTTTTTCTCATGTGGACTTCTAAGCTTGCAATCTTATCAAGTAAAGATGCATTTTGTCGTTGATGGGAATCCAACTCTTGTAGTAAATCTTGCATCCGTAATGTCAGCCTAGCATTCTCTTTCTGTAATAACTGTAATCCAGATATGTTATTTCTAAAATACAACTTGAGCAAGGAGAGTACCCAAGCAACTAAAACAGTTGATTATAAGTAAACAAAACATTCCCGACTGTTTTTTAATGTCCCTATCATTAAAAAATTCTCATTAATAGAAAGAATGCTATCCGAATGGGAATGAACATTTTGACGAAAATACCTCTGTCCTAGTGACAAAATGTGCTTCTGCTTCAGCAGAAGAATTCCTGAGTTCTTCCAGCAACTTTTGCATCTCTACTTTGTCAGTCTCCCTCGACCTCTCGTGCCGATCAATCTCTGCAGAAAGATGGTCGACTTGAGCCTCTAACTTCCTGCATAAGCGTTCATAGTCAAATTCTTCTTTCACCTTTACCATGTTTACAACTTTCATTGCCTGCATAAATTCATGACAAAAATATTATGCAACGTTAGGGAACATGAAAATGCTAAGAATCAAATATAGCACAACAGCTGTAGTTTGATGTTTCAGTTATTCAAACTAACCCGTTGTCCAAACATCACAGTGCTTGCAGTTTCTGCATGGTGGCGAGCAGATGGCCCGATTGTTGTAATGAGTGAAGTTCTTGCAGAACCTGTCATACATATCTTATTAAATGTAATATCCATTGAATACAGTTCATTCCATGTAAAAGGAGACAATGAATTATAACAAGAAAAGGAAATAACCTCCAAATGAATCGCGAAGCAATCTAGTCAGCTTAGAATCCCGAGTAGGTATGTGAGGACTATTCTCGGCCAAAGCATTTATACACTTCCCTAGAGAAGTAAGTGAAAGATTGATAAACTTAGCTTCCTCGAGCACATGGCCTTCACTCCCTGAAACAAGAAAGATAACATAGATGAAAGCAACCAAACTACACGTTAGAGTTCAAGTTGTAAATAAAGATGAGATGAGTCAAATCACATTCAAGATGCAAACACTCAAGCTTGAGCTCGATTTCAACACTTGATTTTTAGTTCAAGCTCAAGTATGCTTAAAAGTTGAAACAAATTAGTATGGATACAATTATACTACTACTAGTTCAAATTTAATTAAAATTAGGAAAAGAAAACTATTTCATTATCTCTAATATTTTAGTTAATAAAACTCGAGATGTATAGAATGATGAAGCAAGTTAGAAAACAGCTGATGGAATGAGTTTTCCCTGTTAAAATATTTTATGAAAACTGGAAAATTGCATTATTATTCATAACGAAGATAAAGGATTGGAAATAAACATAACATACTGACTCGATAGACTCAAATTTAAATAATCTAATCTATAGATAAAATCAAATCTAAATCTAAATGTATTAAATCTAAAACCGAATATCTAAAATATCTCCAACATCCCCAATAAGATACCGGTGGACAGAGGAGAGCATTGGATCCTTCATTTCCTTGTCTCTCATATGACCAAGAAGCATGTGCCCATTGTCTGAGTAATGTCTGCATCAGACATATGCCTAGAGCCAACTGCAACTTTACCAACAATTGTGGAACCTTGAAAAATATACGAACTTCCGACATTGTTTGCCCACATATTAGTAGGAGCTCCTATAGACAAGTTCAAAACTCCTTTATCGACAGTAATCTGATAGCTTAAACTATTTGATGCACCTCTTTACGAATCTCAGAGACATACCGAATTTGGCTAAGTTTCCTAGTACGCCAATGATGAATCATCAACTGAATAGATCCAATTTCTATAATCTTGCACAATGCATCAATCCATCAAACATATGCCGGAAAATTCAGCCTCAAATCTATTGAACCATTATAAGTAAAACATAAAATAAACAACCAAAGTCAACCTATCCATTCATTCTTACATATTGCTATCTCCATATGAGTCGTGAACTACAAAAGCATCATAAAGTTTCTTTCCTTTTTCACTAGCAATTTTTTTTCAAATGTCACAATCTTCTTGCAGCAGTAGCAAAACATATTTAGCCTTCTCTTTGATTAAGATCGAGATCTTTGTAGATTGCAAGAATCTAGATTCCACCAACATGAAACCAGGTTTCACTTTTACCTTCGGGATACACCTTCAAAATGTACTTCTCTTCTTAGAGGAGATTAAACTTGATATCATGAGGACTCGGTATTCTTCCGATACACTATGATTTCCCCAAGATGCTAGTATGAAGTGGGGGGAGCAAAACAATCAACAAAATAGCTTTATCTTGATCATCAATTTTCACCTCAGTTTGCTCAAAATCGACCAAGATAGCATTAACTCATCAAAATGAGTGGATGAGCCTTTAGGCATACATGGGGAGTAAAGGCACTCTTGTAGCCAAACAATGTTCGTGGAGTATCAAAAATTGAAGCTTTTACCTTTTTCATTCATTCTTATCCATCTGGAATCTATATTTTTTTCTACCTTGATTTACATTTTGCTCTAATGCCAAATCAAAATTACCTCATAACAGGTTGTGTTTCTTTGATTTTTTTTCTCAAATTTTACTATTTGGATTCTTCGTCACTAAAAGAAATACATTATTTTCTTTAAAAAAATATTAATCAAATATTATTTAAATACAAAACTCAAACCAAATCTTGAGAACAAAGTCATAACTATTAATTGAAACTTCTTTCCTCTACAAAATTTCACATCCACCATCTAATTTTCATTTCAAATACTACGTAAATATATATATATATTTCCTATTCAAAATATCATATGTAACACTTATTTACATCATCAAACACTTCTCTCTATCAAACTTGAGACTACTCCAAAAACCAATCCAAAACACCATGGGTGTGTTCTTCTTGTGCTTTTTATTATTATTATTTTGTTTTTAGTTTTTTGTTTTGAGTTTTGATGTTTTAAAGGTAAAATATTTGTTGAATGTGATGTTTTGTATGAAAGAAATCGAGGGATTGACTTTGAAATTTTCTTCAAATTCTTCAAATTCTTACTCTTTATTATAAGAATACATTATTTTTTCTTACAAAACATCGCATCTAACACACTACTTAAACAAAAAAACAAAAAAAAAGAAAAACCCGCAGCCGTTACTCTTTGAATGCACCAACAAGGCAAGTCACACTAGGCGAACTATTTGTGACAGGCAAGACCCGGGGGCATTGGGGGTTTAAATCCATGACCTTGTTTACTTATGCTTTGGTTTTATTGTAGGTTGTTTGAGATTTTTCACCGTAGGTTGTTTAAAATTCTTCGGGTGAAAATAGATATTGAATGTAATATTTTGAATGGGAAATAGATGCTAAATGCTTTTCCTTTAGGGATACTGATACGCACTGTATATTAAATTGTGCGAAAATATAAACCAAAGCACAAGGCAATACAACCGTAGTTTTTCAGCAGGGTGGAAATTATCTTATAACTATCATATTGCTTTTTGTTGCTTTTGTTAGATTTTCCTCATATCATATAGATTAATTAAATTATCAAAAAATTAGTTGATTCTGATTCGACATTAGAAGTACATTGATTTTTCCCCAATAAAAACAAATATCACCTCGAAACTCAATACTACACAAGATTTGCAACACCTACTTGATGCTTAGATTTGCTTAGCATGTTAAGATACACAATGCTAACTTGAACATATTTTAAGCTTAAGTTGCTAGACTCATTAGTAACTCCTAGTTAACAAACCTGATTTCTCAAGGCGCTCCGATCCTGCAAGATCAACAATCAAAAGCTTGCTTTTCCGGATAGTCGGTGCATGATTCCCATCTCTAATATATTTTTGTTGGCCCATGTCTATTTCTCCATTCTCCTGTGTGGATCTACGGATATGAACCTATAGGAAGGACAACCGCGGAAAGAATTGAAGTGATTGCAAGTTTTCACAATCAAACATGCTATAGGAAGTGCCAAAAAAATTACACAAATCAGAGCAAACTTCTCGTACCATGAGGATTGCATGACTGCGCGATGATTCAGTGTTCATCTTTGTATTAGCTGCATGGCGATTAGCTTCTCCGAGTTGTAAAAGTTGTGTAAAGTGATCAAGGTTTCGTATTTTCACTAATTCAGCAGCAGGCACAGATATTTCCCCAGTCTTGGGATCCTCCATAAATGAAATGTTCATCTTTTCAGGAGCAAGCAAATCTTGAATAGACTCCATGTATAGCTGTCGATGCAACACAAATAATCATCATCGAATTTGAACATAAGAGAGGTAATAAATTAACAACCTTACCTAAAAAAATTTAAGCTAATAAGATTAAGGGAGAAAGTAAAACATTTACATTTGTTCGAAGACTTTAATATGTAATATACTTATGCATATCTCTACAAGCTTAAACTTTTAGGTAAAATGGACATATCAGAGCAGACGGAACGTCTCGTTCGTGTGTTGCATAAATCCACCTAAAGCATTTAATTCTTCCATCGGTTGCAAACAAATCTATGATCTAAAACAGAGTAGTTACAATTTTTTCAATAGTTCGAAAACATGGTAAATTCTTTTGACTAGTATGTTCAAAATTTTCTTTTGAATAATCCAAGTACCTGCAAATAAGAAATTTCAACACTATCCGGTGCCAATGTAGAGGCCAATATGTCCTCCATAGCTCGAACCATTATTCCACGCTCGGATGCATCATCTTTACCCAGTCTTCCAAGTGTGTATGTTTTACCGGTACCTGTTTGGCCGTAAGCCATAACTGTGCCATTATACCCTTCCAGCACACTCTACAGTTGTGTATCAGATACTTTACAATATCATCATACCATACAAAAACAAAAACAGGCACAGAACTGAAGCGAACAAAAATATGTAATTCAAACAAACAAATGGGAATACCTCGACCACAGGTTTCGCCACTGCCTCGTAGATGCGCTTTTGAGAAGCACTCTCGGTAAATATTTCATCAAATCGGTAAGATTCAGTACTCCAATTATTCTTTCTCAACTTTAGCCTTTTCAGCTGCATGACAGAGAAGATGTGTGAGCAATTTTCTTTCGACACGAGCAGAAATTTTGTAAGCATTGACAGGGTAAGATCAAAGAAGGGTAAAATGAAAGTAAAATCAGATTTAACATATACAGGCTTGATTGACCTATGGATACAATACCTCGGGCTGAAGCTCCACACAGTCAGCATAATCGGCATCAGATAGTTCCATGGGATTCCTCGGTCGAAGTCTAACAGCAACTCTAACTCTTTCAGACTCTAAAGTACAAGCAGATACCAGACATCAACACATAGACGAGATCATTTTTAACGTTCAAATTATGAGTATATGACAGTGACGAGATAAAATTTCATTCCTCTTATACCTAGTAATCTACATTTCCACATTCAGTCATCATCTAATGAATGCTCTCCGGGCTTTAGCTTCTTAAGAACACAAGTTTTCCAAACTTTACTATTTTGAACTCTGCATTTTTTGAAAAAAAAAAAAATACATATTTTCTTCTCAGAGAGCATCTCATCAAACATTATTTTAATACCAAAATCAACTCCAACTTTTCCAAACCAAACCCAAAAAAACACACACTCGACATTTTTCATGTTTGATTTGTTTTCAATTCGAAATATGCAAACAAGAGATAGTTCAGTTGTGAATATTAACCCATATCATAACATACAAAAGGAAAATAAAAACTCATTTTTTGATTAGATGAACAAAACTAAATCTACATTGTTTCCAAATTTCAATCCCAATCCAAAATCTATTAGTAACTACAATCTAACAATTAATATGAAACAAAGTCTGCAACATTCTTGTTCATGATTTAAAAACTTGGTCGTATTTGAAAAATAATTGTACAAAATTTATTTTTTAGAGAATTTTATGCAATATTGAGTTTCTAAATCATGGTGCGGTGCGGAATTTCCAAATCATAGGTGAATTATAAACAATTTTGCCCCATGGGCAATTTTTTTTGTTTTGTCAATTTTCAATAAATAATTGTCGATCTACATTGGCAAACATGTTTTTGTTTGTTCCATGATAACTTGGTGAACCAAAAAGGTTTTAATATTCTATTCTTGTATTAGTATAATTCAAAAAAGCAAAAAACACTTCAAGATCAAGAATTCACATTGCTTGCAAAAACATGGTTTCCAAACTAAACAAGTTCAATATATCTTTCCAAGTATAATCAGGCTGCCATTGCCGATGGTAATAAATAAGCTCAGCTTCATCAGACAATCAAACAGCTGTAGAACAACCAATTCGCCATTCCTATCCTCAAAACATTCATAATCCTTACATACATTTAAATTTAAATATATATATATATATATTGTGTGTAAAATAGAGCGAGAGAGGGACAGAGAGACCTGGATCGTTATCAAGAGGCAGAGATCGCGCGGCCGCCGCCCTTGAAGTGGGAGTGACGGACCGTCGGGAACCGGCAGAAGCTCTCGTACGGACAGAATGTTGGTGTCCAAACGCGCCGGCGGCGGCGTTGTTTCTTACAGATGCATTGCCATTGACATTGCCATTGCCGGAAGAATTCATCCAAGTCCTTCCGGCATTAGCCATTTTTTGAGTTCTCTTATCTTGTCTTCTTCTTCCTCCTCACTGACTGACAGTAGAGAGAGAAAGGGTACAATCCTCCAGCTTCAACTCTCTCTCCTCACGTCTACAGACACGTTTAGAGAGAGAGAGAGGAAGGAGTGTGGAAATCGACGGTTCCAAAATGGATGGAGTTGAGTTGAGGCGGGCACGATTGGAGAAAATATTATTCTGAGATAGAAAGATGGACTTTAGGAGTGTGTAAAATGTAAAGGCGGTGTCTTTGTTGTTCTTGTGTGTTCAAAATGATGATTTGATGATGATGATGATGATGATTTCTGAATCATGAATTACTCAATCAATTAATTGCACTCAAATTTGCCATCTCTACAATAAACAACGGAAGAAGATGGTAAAGCTGTAACGATGTCTGTCAGTGTCAGAGATGTGACAGGAAAAGGGACAATAATTAAAATATCCGACAAAATTTCCATAGGCCACATTCCCATTCTCATTTCCATTTCTGCAAGATCCGGTCATATGTGCTGTTATATTTTGGGGGAAGGTTAGGGTCTAAATCAGCTTATATTGTTTGTAATAAAATCCATATATTGTATGAGATTATATTAGATTATATTTTATTTGTATTATATTAAAATATATTTACGGTAATACCGTGTGCTGTCTTATAGCACTTGGTATACTATTCAACACAATCGTCTATATTTTGACACTCCAGCCAAATTTAGGGTTTTATTTGGTTTGTTCTAATTCAAAATATCATTTTACCATTTTTTGTTTGTCTTTGTCAAAATCTCTTATACATTTTCACTAATCAATAAAATACTACTCCCTCCGTCCAAATATAATAGTTTTATTTACAATTTTTGTTCTTTCCAAAACAATAGTCTTATTTCTATAAATAATCATATCACCGTAAAACTGCTCCTACTTTTTTATTTTTATTACACAATTGCCACTACTTTTTACACTAGTACACTCACAATGGCAAAAAAGTCTTTTATCCATATTTTTTACCAACTATTAATATAATATCAATATTCCTTAAATCTCGTGTTCAATCCAATTAAGACTATATTTATGGAACGGGAGGAGTATTATTTTTTAATCTATTATAAAACTTCAAAGAGCCCCTCTCAAAAGGGACGGAGGGAGCATAATAATAATAGTTATAAATTAAGATTAAAATGACTAAATAATTTAATTAAAATAAAAAATATATATAAATTATGAATATTAAAATATGAATAAAATGTAGTATAATTATATTTCCGTAAAAGTAAAACGATAATTATTGGAACCTATCAAAATAGAAAAATGGACAAATTATGAGGTATCGAGGGAGTAAAATTTATGCATATTTATAGTAATTGGAACGTCAAAATATTATTGGGGTTTGTTTGGTTCATAAACTTGATGAGATTTTACGGGGTTTGGATTTTAAAATCTCAATAAATCTGTATTAAATTGAAAATAGATAATGAAATCTAAAATAGTTGGGATTTTAAAATCGAGTTTTTAATATTAGGCTGCCCTAATTACTTTTTAATCTCAAACTCATTGTATTTTATATTTTACTTTTATATCTCTTTATCTAATAAAGAAACTATATTTCTTTGATATTATATATTTATATTTATATTATATTTGATTGGTTCAATAAATATACTACTACAAATACATGTATTTATTTATAATTATTAATTTTATTTATATTTATATTTAATTATATTACCAATAATATTTTAAATAAAATAATAATTCCAAAATTATTTGATTAGTGTGTTAGTTTTGTATTTTTAGTTTAACGTATTTTTATATTAAATATGATAAAAAAATCTCGGTAGTATAATAAATAATATTTATTAGATTGTTGTATTGCTTAGTGTATAGATCATATATTATATACTCTTTCCGTTTGCTTCTAAGGATTACATTTATGTTTTGTATCATTGTATTTAACATTAAAAATATCTTTATATTTGTATAATTTTTTGTACAAATGTCCTTCTATTAGTATCTTAAGACACTAATTGAAGTATTTTTGCAATTTTTTCTTAATTTATATCGCATTTTGATATAATAATTACTCCCTCCGTCCTAGATAAGATGGACGTGTTAATGTAGATACAAGAATTTAGGTAAAGTATAATTAGTAAGTAATTAAGCAGTGTATTAGTGAAAATAACTATTATATAGTAAAAATAATTATAGATTAAGATTAAGATAATTAAATAGTTTAATTAAGATTAAAAAAAGATTTAAATTTTAAATTTTAGAATATAATTAAAGTGTATAATCAATTTTTCAAAAAAGAAAAGGACAAATTATGTGAGACGGATGAAAATAAAGAATATGGACAAATTATGTGAGACGGAGGGAGTAATATTCAAATATCAATACACAAAAGAGTAAATTCTAGATATTGTTTCTTTTTTATCGACTCAAGTTTGTTCTTCATTGCAATTAACTAGTTCCAATCAAATGCAACTTCTTCAAAATTCAATGGTACGCAATGATTTGTACAAAGAAATCTATATGTTGCAACCTAAAGGATGTGAAAAAAATGAAAAAGAAAAAATTGTTTGCAAGTTAAAGAGTCTTTATGGAATTAAACAAGCACCGATGCTATAGTACAAGAAATTTGATTCGTTTATGATGAGTAATGGTTATAGACAGACTTATGCAGATCCCAGTGTAATTTCAAAAAGCTTCCAAGTGATAACATCATTATCCTTTCTTTATACGTAGACAGCGATGATTAGCAACTTGAAGAAAGATTTGTTAATTTGTAGTTTATGTTTAAATCTCGAGTATTTTGATTTGAAGAAAAAAATTGAAAAATTTATGTGTTATCGCTGAAATTTGTTGATGACGGTCCAATAAATTTAAGTCTGTTGAAATTGATAATAATTGAATTATCCGACCTACTTAAAAAAGTACGTGGGCTAGTTCCGCAATCGATATTAGAATTGCAATAAATCCGTAGTGAAAATATAACAATTAATTGCAACGGAACTGTATTAAATTAAACAAAAAATAGATGAGAAAGCAAAATAAAACTGAAATAGGCTCGAATTCAAAATGCACGAATTTAGCAACAAGAAATGATAGAGATAAATAACAAAAAAATAATAATAATAATAATAAGAAAAAAACAAAGAAAGATATATATCGATTTAAAATAGGCTGATAATATCGTATGAAATAAAATAATATATTTTTATTAAAAATCATATTAACGATCATTTTGAAACTTAAATCACAACCAATCAGATCTAAATCGGCCTAAAACCAACCCAAGATAATAAATTAAAATTTGAGTTTCATCATGGGCCCTATACGGGCTCCATTTGGACCTATTCATTAAAAATTAGTCTTGAAACCAACCCAAGGCCGTTTTGATAAAAAAATTAAAAAAAATAAAAAATAAAAAAATAAAAAAAAAAATTACTCTGCATTTTCTTCACTCACATTTTATTTTACGGACAAAGAGAGTATTTATTATAATACTCCCGTATCCCATTGGATGGATGATATTTGCTTTTTGTATATAAATTTTTTTGAATATTAGTATTATATTAGATTGTAGTAAAAAAGACAAAAATAGATGTAATATAAAAGTAATGATATTTGTGTAATATATTGTAAGTTAAAAATGTATCTATTATGTTAGATATGTAATACAATTATTAAATTAAAAAAATAATAATCTTGTTTTAAGACATACGAAAATAAAAATAGTAACCTTTCAATTGGATGGGTGAAGTATTAAAATAAAATAAATAAAAATAAATAAGATATTATAGAAAGTTTGCTAATGAATTAATAAAAAATAATGAAATAAATAAATAAGTGGAAAAATTAAAATTATTCGTTAAAATTAGATAATTAACTTATAAGTGGATAAAATATTTTAATTATAAATAGAATGTCATAAACTAAAAAAAAAAAAAAAAAAAAAAAAGGAAGAAAGAAGAAATACGGACGCAAATATATAAATATAATTGTTTGATATAATATAAACATATATTAATGTAATATTTTAAATATAAAATTAAATTTTATCGTAATATAATAAATAAGAAATAAATATTTAATCTAAAAAAAAAATTTAAATAATAAAATCAAAGACAAAATCTCACAAATAAACCCTCATTATTTCTTTTCATAAATATGTCTGTCCAAAGAATCAATGGCATGTATATGCATGTAAACCTTTTATTACATCAAATCCCTCCCCCAAAGTTCAAAAATGACATTGACAAACCTATGCAATATACTATCAAAGCTATATATTTTAACCAGCCGGGAGTTTACTCAGAGCGTCATAAAAAATATATATTATCATCACTAATTTTCCCAGGGAGGGTGGGAGAGGGGTGGATGCCTTCAGACAACAACGGTCGAAGATCGACACGGCCGTTGTCGTTCCAAGGATAAATAAACTATAAATAATTTTTTCATTTTAGTCGAAAAAGTGGAGGAGTATTAGAAGTAGGTAATAGTACTCATCAAAATTCGAGTTTACCTGTCAGCTGTGTTTCCCGTCGTGGAACTGAGCATTTTTCGATGACTTGAAGGTTTCGAGAAACTCTTGAGCCCTCTGCAGCTCCTGCTGTTGTCTCAACTTGTCCCATTTGTGTTCGGCAGCCAGTATCTCAATGACACGTGGCACGGCCCTCAGGGCGGCGTCCGTGTCCAAAAATGCGAGGCGGGACCGTCTGGCTATGAAATCCACGGCTGACTCGCAGTACTCGTGCCGCGCACAGTAGGCAACTTCGGCTTCTAGGATTGGGTATCCGTGCGTTAGTCGCTTTCCGAGATTTTCGTTCTGGAAAACCATGTTTTTTAGTTAGGAAAAACAATGACAATGAGAGTTATTCGAGACGAGTGATGAATCTTCGTGACAACCTAGTACAAATATCGTCTATTCTAGGCTCCAGCAAGAATGGAAAGAAAGAGTTAGCATTTATTGATCCTTAGCTGACAAGAACAAGTATAAAACCATAAATATCGGTAACACAAAGACGGAAAACATTCGGGTTGTTCTCTTAATCCCTACACAATTCCCGACGAAATGTTTTTACTTATATTCTTTCAATAAAAACACACTATTTTCTTACAAAATATTTTTAAAACAAAAACAATAAAAACTACACCGTCATCACAGTTCTCTAAACAATTTCACAATTCTCAATAACATAATAAAAAATAAAAAATAAAAAAAAAATCCCGTAATTTTTAAAGCACTAAGTGCATTTGCTTTCAATGTTTTACATTCCCAATTCACACTGGTAATGCACTACAAAAATCCCAAAAATTAACACATCATTATGTCCAAGTTTAAAATGAAATACAACAAAGCAAAAATAAACTAATATAAAGAAGAAGCATCTCTCAAAGCTCAAAATAAAACAAAAGAGAGCAAAAAGATAAATGCCTTCCATGAAAAGTTATACCTCATCCGTCCCAAATCTTTTATTATTATTTCTAATTTGAGATGTTCAAAACTTTTGCAATTTTTCTCCATTTACATACGATTTTTCTTCTTTTATACTTGTGAAAATAATTTATAAAATCATACCTAATAAGAAATAGGGACAAAAAGGTAAAAAACCATCAAAATTATATTATCTAAAAACCGTGCCAAAAGTAAACCAAATTTTTACAATACAATTAACTCAAAAACACGGATTATTACTACCTTTATTTGCACATTTTTGTAAATACTTAAGTGCTTGGTTATGTTTCCAAAACGTCGGGTTATAGTAACCTATAAACATCATATAATGCATCTGTTTTTCATATAATATATTACATTCAAAATTTAATTTCTATTTAAAATTTTACTATTTTCAAACTTCACAAATCCAGCAAAACACGACGAAACATACTATTTTGTGATAGCGACTAAGAGAAACAATAAACACAACATTTAGAGAGGATTAAACTATTCTCAACCCAAAGGAAAAAAAAAAAGAAAAAGAAAAACACAGAAATAGTAGTGGATGGGAAGGAAGAACAGACCTGAGCAATAGCGGCGACTCGTTCTGCCAAAGTACCATAAGCACGCGATAAATGCTTTGCAGCGGCCGTGTCCATGACACCAGGAACAACCTTCCCACTGTACGTCCTTTTCATGCGCATGTATTGCTGGGATAGAACAGTGAATGACGCAGGATCCCAGCCATCTGCGCCAACAAGTTGTAGGTGGTGTGTAATGCATTTATTCGGCGGGCTAAGGTTTCCGGACTTTATTGCAGCATTTACTGCATCTTCGGCCATACTGAGAGAATTTCAAGTAGGAAACACGTTGTTAGTAGACATGGCTAAAGTTTCAAATCTACAAAAATAGAAACTAGAACTGCACCAACAGTTGCGGCTCCAATTATTCTTAAATATACCATACACGCGTACACACACATATATACATAATTGTTAATGGCGGCGCGCCGCATTAATATATTTTTAAACTACATAATTAAACTATAAGCAGTAAGAAGCAGAAGAATTGAATAAAATAGGAGGGCAAAAGAATACGAGTGAAGAGTCAAACACAAGATATAACAGAAGTCTAGCCATATTCCTTTTTAAATTTACTTACTAAAAAGTAAGTCACAGTCCAGAATCATTATGCCACTTTGTTTGGGCACGGAGACTAAGAAATTTGATATTTTAATATAAAAATAAGATAGATAAATAGTAAAGTAGAAATATTACGGGAAATTTATCAATGAACCGATAAAAAAAATAATGGAATAAGTAGGAAAAAAAACAGTGGCAAAATAGTTATTATTTATAAAATTGAGAATAATAAAATTATAAATGTATAAACCTTTTTAATATAAATAGATTATGTATAAATGTAATAAACAAACAAAAAGGGAAAACTAACATAATTATTCTGGGCAGAGGGAATAATAGTCAAAATAAAGCCTAATTAACCCCTGATAAAGAAGATACTTTGGAAGACATGAACTTTTATCCCAATTGTAGTTTCACCTAAGCACATTATGAATTTTTCAAGTTGAAAAAAAAAAAAATTGTCTGTTCGATGAAGAACAAATTCATGCTGCACCAACATACAAACTTCAATGCAGTTTTTTGCTATATTTACAAACTCCACTGTCTTTTGGTAAAGAAAACAAAAAAAATAGTGAAAGTATAATTGCACTATTTCAATGTTTCATTGTTATTTTTGCCATTTACCAAATACTCCTTCCATCCCACTTCTCATGTCCATCTTTCCATTTTCGTCCGTCCCATTTATTTTGTCACTTTTCTTTTTTGGAAAATAATTATACACTTTAATCTTATTTCTAAAAATTTAACTTATACTTTTTTTTATTTTAATTATACTAATAAATTATCTTAATCTTAATTTATAATTATTTTTATTATACGATAATTATTTTTACTAATATATTTTTAATTATTTACTAATTGTACTCCTCCTAAATTCTCGTATCTACAGTAACGCGGACAAAATATCCGGGACGGAGGGAGTATGTCTAACACTAATCGAAAATAATTCAATTCATTTTAGGAAAAACTTATCCATACCATCTTTGATTCTACTAAAAAAAAAACAATCTCAAATTTTTCGAAGCACTTTTGGCGTGTAACAACTTTGTCAATATAACCACAATTGTCACTTTTGACAATGAACGAAACGTATGAAAGGCAATAATCACTATAAGATTGCATAGTGTAACATATGTTGTTACATAGCCATCTCACCCAAGTTTTAATAATCCAAAATTTCAAAACACATTTTCTAGACAGAGAGACAAGAAAATACATACTTTAGAACAAATATACATATAATGGGATGGTGTAACGAAATTCCGGCAGCTAACCAAAATCAGAGCCACAGCCACAGCCACAGCCACATAACACAACTCTTATTTTTCTACCTAAGCTTTGACTGGACTATACATAACACACAAGTTTTAAATTATTCACCATATATATAATATATATCTTCGCTGCGCCGCGAGCTTCTTATGATCCCAACATCGAAAAGCCTATATTATACACATTCATTATTTTTATATTTTCTACACAATTCTACTTAACATAAAAAAATATCCCTTAAAAATATTTCACAAAACAAACACACCCTTAGAATCACAAACACTAAATGTAGTTTTCGTGTGGTTTTAGTTTATGTTCCTACACAATTTGATTCCCTGCAGTTCCCTAATTCTAAATGTATCTGTCTCTCTATTTCAAGTTGCTAAGTGGTCATAAAAATTAAAAACAAGTTTAACATAACTACCTTCTATAAGTAGTCCACTTTCCGCCAGTAATCGTAACCAGACCTGGAAAATCCTCGGCCACAACGTGATCCCTGGAAATGCTCTCAGTGTTTTTAGCCTTCGGATCCATAGCCAATGGCCGGATGCCGCTCCAAGCCGACAAAACATCTACTCGCCGGACCTGAAAGGAAAGGTATTCTTATAAATTAACCTAAGCAACAAGTGTGTATATATAATTCAAGCATATAGAAGTTTACGAACTTTGACACTCAGATAGTCTGAAATGGCATCTAATATGAATTCAATCTCATCCTCATGGGGTTCCGGAAGCATTGTAATGCTTGTATTAGAATCGGTAGTGCCAGCGACAGTTCTTCCTAGCCAAGGAAGCATAAACACAACACGGCCATCCTTAGTTTTGGGAACGATTAATCCCATTCCTTCTGGGGAATAGTAATCCGGAAGCACAACATGGACCCCACTACTCGGACAGATAATCGGCTTTGCATCTTTGTCAGCCATCTTCCTCAATGAATCACAAAAGGGACCAGCGGCATTTACTACAACTTTTGCAAATGTGTCGAACTCCTCCCCTACAATTATTGGCAACAATCAAACATTATAAAAACGAGTGAAGTTTTAAAAAACTCAAAAGACAAGCAAAACATCGACTACTTTATTATTCTCTGTTGTATAGTGCACGAGTTTGTTCACTTTCACAAAACACAAGGTGCAATTGCCAATACTGGTAAAAAAAAAAATTCTCATAAAATATTCAGTCTGCTCGCTCAGACTTTATTAATAGAACAATTTTTCATAAATATTATTAAAAAAATACAAATATACACACACATTAATATTATATTCATATATCCATTCATAAAAAATCAACAATTCAACACAAAATATTATTTTTTATATTACCAATACAGTTCCTCGTAACATACACAAAAAATAAAAACGTTGAGTAAACAGACTGATTATAAGAATAACAAAAACAAATATTTCAATAACACTTTCATAGTTCCTAATGACTAACAACAAAAATCTTTAAAATTTCATAACACTAATAGAACATATTGTATTTTCAATCTAAAGTAAATTATTATTACCTTTGGAAAACATTTCATCCGACATCTATTTTCCATTCAAAACGTCATATTTGGAATCTAAATTTCATTTTCAAGATTTCAAATTCAAAACATCTATACACACAAAAATACAAGCACGCCCTATTTAACATAGTTAAATGCTAAACAATGTACATATTTTTAAAGGCAAACGAGCAAAAGTGCTAATCATTGCCAAGAATGACATTAATACCTGTCAAATTATTTCTTATCCGAGCACCCACTATCCTTCCAGTATCCTCATGCCGAATAAACGAGATGACTTCAGCATGGTTAAGTGTGGCGGCGCCTGATACAGCTGCAGTACACGCCAACGCAATGTTTAGCCGCGAGTCATTCATCTGCCCATCATAATACACAACGGTTCCTTTCAAGCTCCGATCTTTTCCTTTTCTTGCCAAAGTGGGGAAGAGTTCAGCCGACTCCTGTGTCGAATAGTATCGCGACAAGTGGAGCAAGTGCCCACCAGCAACAAGATCGTACATCTTCAAACCCATCCAATAGTACACGACTTCGAACCAGCTAAAACATGGAGTCATGCACGGCAATGCGTGGCAGAGATGGGGAGCATTGTCGATTACTTGCTTGCGCTCCTCAAGGGCGTGGAAGACGAGCTTCAATTGCCCATAATCTAGGTTGAAAACCGCTTTCTCCAAATATCGAACTCCTGAAATATGTCATCTAAAACACCTTATCGTAATATTAAACTTAGGGTGTGTTTGTTTGGGGGTCAGAATTTTGAATTGGGATTTGAATAGTAAAAATTTTGAACTGGAATAGTTGCATGATGTGATAAATAGATGCTAATACGAAGTTTTGAATATAAAATTGATTTTTTATATAATCTAAGAAAAATGAAAAATAGGTGTTTGATTTGATGTTTTTTTTGTGAAAAAAAATTTGATAAAACAGTGGAGAGTAGTTGAAGTTTTTGAAACGAACACACCCTTATATCTTTCCGAGCCATCAACATTACTAATAGTTGGAAATTGTTTATACAAGTATACAAATCTTTACAAGATATAGTTTCTAATGAACTTTATGATTGCCAAACTTGCAATGCCAATTCTGTATGTACATATATATATATATGTATTGTGTATAACATTAATTCATGAAAATTCAGAATCTATGGTGAATATAAGCATCCCCTAAATTTTCAAACTTGCTCACGTGAAAGAACAAAGGTTTCCTTTTTACTTGATTTGATTTCAACTTTATGCAAAATCACAGAGACTACATGAACCCTACGGTACTATTCTCGATGCACAGAGTACAACACAATGCGTAAGGATATTATAAACGCGGAATTGAAACTGACCTCCATGGATGAGTTTGGTGGACCTCGAAGAGGTCCCGGAGGAGAAGTCGTCGCGCTCAACGAGCCCGACACGAAGCCCCCGCGTGGCGGCGTCGAGGGCGACGCCGCAGCCGGTGGCGCCGCCGCCGATGACGAGGACGTCGAGAGGATTAGCCGCGGTGGACGCAATGAGGGCAGACTCCTGAGCGGCGCGCGGCGGAACGGCTGCGAGAGGGTCCGCAATCCTCTGCCTGGCGGCGGCGAGGGTGGGGCCCCGGTCGGTGGCGGCGATTGAGGGAGTGCCGAAGAGGGTGAAGTACGCTCCTCCGGCGACGGCGGCGACGGCGCCGATGCGGCGGAGGCGTATGGAGGGGGCCATGGCACGATTGGGGAATCAGAATGGGGATGGATTGGCAGAATTATGGGAATCGGAGGGATGGAAGGGGATGAGCATTTGATGAGTATGGGGCGGGGGGAGGAAGAAGAAGGAAGAAAGGGTTGAATTCGTTATGGGACGGGACGAGCGGTGGGGTGGGGTGGGGTGGGGTCGGGGTGGGGCTTTGGGAATCGGACATGTACCGGGATGCACGAGAAAGATATTGCTTATTTCAGTGCGAAAAGACCGTTTTACCCCTCGGGCTGTTTGGTTTATATCTTGGAATTTGGATCGATTCGGAGCTCGGAACGGAATGATATGAGAGTATTGTTTTTTAATGTCGGTGGTTTTTTTTTTATTTTTTTAAATTTTTAGTTCCAATCTAATTTTGACATTTTATTATTATAGTCCGTATTTGTATGTTGACTTTTTGTACAATCATAATTAATTGATATATTGATGTATAGAGAAAAAAAATTAAATAAATAATCATATTATAATTAAATAATTTAATTAAAATTAAAAATTTATAAATTATGAATTTTAAATAGAATTAAAAATATATAATTATATTTAAAAAAATAAAATATAAAATTATGTAAAATATGCAAATATAAAAAAAAAAAAATTAGATAAATTAAATAAAAGAATAATAATTAAATAGTGTGCTGCTGGGTCAATCAGTTGACCGGTCCGCTCATAAAATAGGAGCGGATATTAGAGCTTTGATTTTTTATTTTTGATTTTTTATATTTTTTTTTAAAAAAATAATACACTGTATATATATTCTTATTTTTATATTTTTTGATACAATTCTATATATTTTTTATAAAAGAATTTTTTTTCAATAATCTCACATAATATTTGTATACAGAGCTATGCAAAATTATTGAATTTTTAATTTATCGATCGAATTTAAATTAATTGAAAATTTGAATTCGGTAATTTGGTAATTCAAATTTTATTTCGATATGCCAAATTCAATATTTTTAAAGTTAATTTGAGTTTGATTTTACTATTTTTTAATTCGAATTTACCGATTTTGAATTCAAATAATTATTTTATTTAATACTATATACATATATTTTATTTTTCAAAAAATATTATTTTATATAATACCAATTCACCAAATATAAAAAATTTATAATTTTATATTATTTTATTTATATTTAATTATATTAGTATAAAACTCCCTCGGTCCCGGGACAAGATTTTTTAGGTAGTGTAAGTTATTAATAATAAGTTATGATATTAGTTTATTATTTTTTATACGAATAATATTATTGGTATTTAAAAAATTTTTACGATTATATCTCAAAAAAATATATGCAATATGGATATCATTATGTAGATAATCAAATTTTATATAATACAAATAAATAAAAAAATATTTTTATATATTTATCATTACCATAAATTAGTTTTATAAAAAATATGAGTTTTAAATATAAATAAAAAAAGTTATGTTAATTGAGGAGAGATATAAATAAAGGAGTTTTGAATGGGTCATACGTTAGAAGTTTAATTAAATTGATTTATATTTGTTAAGTATGTTTAAAATTCATAAAATTATTAAAAATAGAAATGGATCATCTTTTGTGTGAGGTGTAAAAAAAAAAGAAAAATGTGTCATCTGTGGTGGAACGGAGAGAATACTTTAAATAAATTAATAAATATAAATCAGACATGGACTATGGACCAAATATTTTAAGACCTCTTAGTCATTTCTAACTCATCAACTCCATTTACTCCCTCCGTCCCGGTTGCCGTTTACTTTTTGTATGTAGATTTTTTAATATTAATATTATAATAGATTTTAGTGAAAAAGACGAAAATACCCCTATTAGTATTGTGTAATATAAAAGTAATGACATTTGTGTAATATAATGTAAATTAGAAAGATATTTATTAAGTTATGTAGGTAGTACAATTACTAAATTAGGAAATTGTAACTTTATTTTGGGATGGACAAAAATGAAAAAAATGACAACCTTTCAATAGGACGGATGGACTATCAAGTTTTAAAAAATATACTTGTAATTTTATTCTAACATAACTCTGTTTTTCATTATTATTCTTCAAATATTTAATTTTTTCTATTATTTTAAACAACTTTTTATTTTTATAATTTAAAATATTTAGAAAAATAAAAAATACATTCAAAATTCAATTTTAAAAAATTAAAAACTAAAAAAAAAACTGAAAAATAAAAGGCAACGTCATTTTTTAGTGTTGCACTGTAGCAATACAAAAAGTGCCAGCAGAATTTTGTGCCAAAACTACGACGCTGGGTTGGAAATGCCTTGGGTCTTTTCCATAAATAGGTATAAATAAAGACTAATTTTTTAGGGTGTGTTTGCTTGAGAGATTGGATTTAATATACATTATTTATTCTATTTTTTTTTTCTCCAAAAATATCAAATCAAACACCTATTTTTTATTTTTTATATTATACTAAAAATCAATTTTACATTCAAAACATCACATCAATACCTATTTATATCACATCATACAACTATTTAAATTCAAAATTTTTACTATTGAAATCCTAACTTAAAATCCAAACCCTCGAATAAACACACGTAAATAGAGACTCATTTTTTCTTTTGCCCGAGACCCTCTAAAATTTTGGAGCGATCCTGGCAAAAAGAGGCAAATAAGCAGCTCGCCAAGCTCTTGATTTGGCCTAATCTATTTACTAAAATGGCAAAATAAAAAAAAAATTAATTGAATTTTTGAATATTAGTATTATATTGAATTGTAGTAAAAAAGACAAAAATACCCCTATTAGTATGGTGTATATAAAAGTAATGACATTTGTGTAATATATTGTAAGTTGAAAGGATATTTATTATGTTAAATAGATAGTATAATTACTAAATTAAGAAAATTGTAACCTTATTTTTGGATGGACAAAAATAGAAAACGCTAACCTTTCAATGAGACAGAGGGAGTATTTAACTTTATATATTTATATATATATTCAATAATTGTGTCTATTTTTTTTTTTTTTTTAATTTAGTACTCCCTCCGTCCTAAATACCGTGCAACATTTGTGTTTGACACGGAAATTTAGGTGGGGAATATTAAGTATGGTAATTTGAGATAATTTGGATATTAAGTTATGTGATTGGAGAGAGAAACGATTATTTGTTTTTTTATTTGAGTGATGTGATGGGATAAAATGAAATATATATGAATATATGAATATAAATATTATTAATTATTTCTAAATTTGGAAATATTGCAGTAAGTTTAGGACAAACAAAAAATGAAATATTGCAGGGTGTTTGGGACGGAGAGAGTACTAAATTTGCAAAAAATATTATTATATAGTCTTTTAAACATATTTGTAGGCTAGGTCGGACTTTTAAAAATGCAGACTTAGACTTTTAAAATATGTTTTTCAGATTTATAGGTCAGAACCAAAGCCTGATCTGGTCTGATCTACTTTTACCCCTGCATCTAACTGGGACTTGTAGCACTGTCTTTAAAGCCGAACTTTAAAAAATTAAAGGGTAAATTATATAGCACCCCCTTATATTTTAGTAAAAATCCACAAAATATCATGGATTTTTTTATTGTGTGAAACCTCTTGTGTTAATATAAAGTTTGCACAAAACACTTTTGTTGTTCAAAACTGATGTTTGGTTCTAAATAAAACTTTATTCAAATAAAAAACATAAAATATTTGAAATAATTTTTTTGAATAAAATAAATAAATAAATAATTTATTAATCCTTCATTTTATAGATTTTTGGAGACAAATTGTTATATGATTTTACAAAAATTATAAATATAAATCATGATCAATTACTTATTTATTTATTTTATTCAAAAAAATTAATTAAAATATTTTACATTTTTTGCTTGTATAAAACTTGCGAATTTCAGTCTTTATTTAGAATCAAACATCAGTTTTGGACAATAAGGATGTTTCGTGCAAATTTTACATTAAGACAACGGGGTTTTACGCAATAAATAAAACATGAGATATTTTGTGCATTTTTACTAAGACACAATGGGATATTATATAATTTACCCAAAATTAAAAGATCCAGAAAAAATTTATCATCTTTTGTACATTAGGAAATAAACGAGGATAATGATAGGAATGTTGTGATTCACAATATAATCCTTTTTTTTCCTTTTTCTTTTTATTTATTTATTTATTATTATTTATTACTTCCTCCGTCCTAAATACCATATTCATGTTGCAGTTTTTGTCTGTCCCACGTACCATGTTACTTTCTTTTTTTTTTTAAAATGATTACACACTTTAATCTCATTTTAAATTTTTAATTTTTTTTATTTTAATTAAACTAATTAGTTATTTTAATCTTAATTTATAATTATTTATATTATAGGATAATTATTTTCACTAATATATTCTTAATTATTAACTAATTACACCCCTTCTAAACTACCGTGTCTACAGTATAGCAGACACGGTATTTGGACGAAGGGAGTATTATTTATTATTATTTTTTTTTTTTTATCATTTTTGGATCAATGTTTGATAAAAATCAAAACCAAAAAATGCAGAACACAACCAATATTTTTTAAAAAATCAATTTGTAATTTATATTTGTTATATTTGTGAATTTGTTATAGTTAAATGTTATTTTTATTTTATCATTTATTATTTAAATATTATTATTTATTTAAGAAAAAATCGTACTATACTTCACAATCACTATAAAGATATATTTAATTTTTTTAATTGTTTATTATTTTATCATCCAAATTTATTTATATATATATTTTTTGTTTTCATCTAAATTTATTTTTGTTTTATTTTTAGTAAAAAATTATCACTTATTTCTATAATTTTTCATTATCACAAAAAGTAAAAATTTATATTTATATCTATTTTTCTTAAAATTCATATCCAGTCAAACGAGCACATAATTAGACGATCATGGAAATGAGAGAGTGTAATATGTTGTTTTGTTTAAGTGTAGAAGAAGAAAAAGAAGCAATATTTAAGTTTTTCAGTATTTGATTTATAATTATTATTATTATTTAAGTTTTTCTAATAACAATGACGTTTACTTTTTTGTACGTAAATTTTTTAATATTAATATTATATTAGTTTATAGTTAAA